TTATTGGTTTTTCAAATCCCATTCGGACCATTTATGGTCTCCTTCACATCATCGTAAAGCCCCCAAACTTTTCATTTCACAAGAGTTGTGACCTCACATACATGATTCTTATATGACGTGTGTAGCTGCAATTCGTGAAGCAGAGTGAGTAAGTAAAAGAAGCTGTGATTTGACGTTGTACTATACTTTTGTGGGATCTATTTTTCTCGACCATTGTGCACAATATGTTCAAGAAGGAGTAGTCTGAGGCATCCAAAACTTGGACTGAATTCGTCTATGACTTACCTTTTAATAGGTTGTACCTTACTCCATCGAAACTCACTGTTGACTTCTGTAGTTCTCGCGCATATCCACTATCTCTACAGACCAACAAAGACTAAGATACTAAAAATCTAGAGTATGAATGTGGAGATCTGAAAAGCTTGTTTCACCTGTTTGAGGCTCAATTCTCGTGAATATGAATGTGCACCCATTATACAGTCAACGCTAAAGCAAACACCACATTCTGCCATCATCTGGAATATATTTTAGCGATAGAAATAGGGCTCGGAGCCAGGATTCGATCGGTATCTGAGGTAGAGGAATACAGTTTCAACGTCACTAAAAAGGTGGTCAACTTCACCACATAAATAAATAAATGTGACCTCAAGGACTCCCTTGAGTTTGCTTAGTTCACCTGAACGACTTTGCAATGTTTTCATAACTTACCACATCATTCCACATGGTCACAAGGTTTACATACTGAAATCCATCAGGAGACTCGGGTCAAATATTACAAAAGGTTATGACACTGATAAGCTTCCTCATTTTCATGGAAATAAGATTTACCGGAGATGTACATGTAGGTAGTTTATAGAGGAAAATGATAATCTTTCTTTTCCATTTGCTAAAGATTTGCTTCTCATACACTGATCGCAACATTTTTACCTGGAAAAAGTGCAGAAGGCTTCAAGAGAATTGTGTTTCTGCTGCTAATGTGACTGTCGAGAGGAATCATACACTTAAATCTCCACTGAACGAGTGGCTCTTATATCGTGATGACTTTCTAAGACGGTAATTGTTATGCAGTTGAGGCGAAACCTCATGTAACCCGTTTGGTTTCTTCCATGTACGAATGGATGGGGTCTTCGCATCCTTTTTGTAATCTGCTTTGTACTCTCAGGTATCCATAACAGTACATACAGGTTTACGGTCCCTAAAATGATCTCCATCGGATACTACCTGAAGCCATGACGACTTCGGTATGTGGAGAATTGGCCATGGATGGTGGCCATGTACGGCGTGAAAGAAATAGCTCAACGAGTACAGATTGCAGCTGCAACCGCAGAATCGATTCTTCAACTTTCGGCCGAGAAATGCGGAAACAGGTTATACCCAAAACTACAGCGTTACGTAGAGCCTGGTCAGATGTGGTACAGTCGCAGTGGCAGCTGCTGCTGCTGCTGCGGAGAATCCATGCTCTGTGGGTACAACGACAATATACTCACAAGGAGCTCGTACAGGGTACCGTGAGGGGTCAAGGGACAGTGAGTGACTGCAGTCCTCCTCGTCCTCGTCTTCTCCTTCATAGTCTGAGCGAGTCCAGAACAGTGGGGGTGATAGTCTGGTCTGGTAGAGCAGACGGTGGAAGACCCGACGAAGAAGAAATGGAAGATGGATGACATGAGACCAGGGGCCAACTGTAGTATTAATGACTGCCGTAGCTGTCTTTATATGTGCTGCTCGAGGGAGGGAGGGGACGCGAGGGGAGGAGAGAATTGAGGAATTGATTGAAAATTCTCGCACACTTGCTCTGCAAGTTCCTCCTCCTCCTCGTCCTCCTCCTCCACCACCACCAGCACCAGGGCGGGGCGGTGGTGCGGGAATGAGCGGGACTGGGCCACCGAAACTGAATCAGCTGGTCTGGATCCACCAACTACAGTACAGGAAAAGCCTTCGACCATGACAACTCCGTCAAAGTTCACGCTTGAACATCTTCCTCCCGATGTTCCCCCGCCTTCATCCAACCACCCGTCGCGCTCTCCTCTCGAGCCTGTGGCCTGTGGCCTGTACTTGACATGCTCTGCTGTACCGCTTGCTGGCCGGGAGGTCGGCTGGAAGTGGAGAATTGTGGGTGCGTGACCGACCCTGGACGTCATTGGTCCTTCGCCATGCCTGGGTAGTCTCCAACTTCCCAGCCTGCCACATTCGGAGCTAGCCACTGGCAGCAGCTAGTGCTGTGCTCGCCGAGGCTAGCATAGCAGTAGACGAGGGCCTGGGGCTGATTCAGAAAGATGAGATGTATGCAGTGAGTGCAGTACAATGCTGTACAGAACTGTTTAGAGATCCGTCACTTGCGTGTGGGAATTGTCAACGGGATTCATGGAGGAATTTTTAGTCGGGCGGCCTAGTGCCGACTCTGCCGAGCCTTCAGGATTTGAGCTCCAGGTCCAGACTCCTTCCTCATCTAAGATCTACCCCTATCCCGATTGACTCTCTCTGCTCTTTCCTTCTGACTTCTACTGTTGCCAACTGTGGCCGCAGCAGCATCATCTTCAGATTCCGACTTCATAATGCGAGGAAGCTGTCGGTCGGCCCGCGATCCCAACTTCCTCAGCTCAGCCGAGCAGCTCTTATAGAAGTAGTATCAGTAGTCGAACAGACGATCCCCAAACCCTTCCCTCCCTCCGTCCCTGCCTCCCTCCCTCCGAGTTCCAATCCAAGCAGGTCGGTCAGTGGTTCCAGGGTCCGTGATTCCGCATAGCCCAGGTTTTCCCTCCCTCTCTGCCCTCTCGTCCTCCTCATCCCGCTGCTGCTTCTGGTGCTAGAGCTGCAATCATCATGCTCGAAGGAGTAAGAACCCCAGGGCAGCAGTAGATGCCGAAAGGGTTAGGTGCCGAAGCTAAGTCTCGGGTCAATTATTGGTACTATGATTCGCACGAGGCTCGTAGATAGGGATTTTTCTCTAAGGAGAATGAATGTTGACGGCATCTCCGTCCCTGCTGCAGCGTGGCGAGTGTCACGGCAAGAAAAATATTATTATCCTGAGGGGACAAGTTGCTCATTTGTAGGAACTGGTTCCGTCTCGGCCTTCTCTCATATGCCCGCGTACCTGCAGATTCAATCATAGATCCGCATCATTTTAGTCTATCAACCTTAAGTTGAGAGACTGAGTATTCAACAGACGCGTGGGATGGGATTTTAATAGCTTGGTTGAGAGCTGTACAGTCCCCTTAGCTCAAGGACAGTCGACTCGGTCTCTTGGGGCTACGCTTCCACTCGAATGACTGCATTTCCGCAGGTAGATCAGAGTTTCGGTCCTGTCTCTTTGCCCAAACCAGGGCCCGTATCCTTTTTCTACTCCTGTGTTTTGCAGAGCCCTGCATACCGATGGAAGTATCGGAGCATGGGTTTGTCCTAGGTTTCGCTGAAAGGAATGGTTTGGATCCGTAGCGGCTCCATTAGCTGTAATGCATCCGTGTAGCTGTCTCATTCTCCCGTGCCCGCTGTGCCAATCATTAAATCGGATGGGATCGAGCTTTTTGTTAACTAGAGCGGTCAAAGTGCCAACTTTCACCTTTTCCTGCCCAAGTTATTGCTGGCGAGCATGTACGTGTAAAATGATTGCATCATTCTCCCACTGTTGAGTGGGAAAATGATGCAACCATTGTGAATGTAGGCTGGGCTACGAAACAGAGCAACATGAAACTCAACCATCAAAATCTGAACTGATCTGGACTGTGAGCTGGGCTACGAATTAAGGATCGGTTTAGCATCAGGCCGTAGTAGAATGATTCATTTCTCCGATCGATTCTTAAACACTAAGCGAGGCAACTGAAAGAAGATGGAGACATATGGAGCTAGAGTCAGCTGGAGCCATACAGGAACCAGGAAAACCAGCCAGGACAGGAAGACGAGTTCGAACGTATGCTCTCCTTCCCATGAACCAAATATGATGGTCATTGCGTGGGGTAAGTCAGGGTAGCTTTAATCAAGTCGTTGCTGCCTACTGCATCACCAGTGAAATTATTGACGACTCAAACAGGCTTGTAAATACGACACATCGCGGCTGCTAGCTGAAAATGGGAGTCTCCTTGTATCACGCCCTTGAACGTGGCTTTAGGTGACTAAGTCAATTTTGTGAGCGACTGAATCTTGGGAGTGGCGGTACTGTCAAACTTCGTGGTGACACTTCTTTATACATCAAGTTCTAATATTGGTTGTGAACACGCTACGCTGCCTTTCTGTCAGCATGAGCAGTTTGATTCCTGTAAATGAACTTCGCCCCAGTAATGAAACCACAAATCATGGGACTAAATTGCTAGTGAAGCTAAATGAGAAGAAATTCTTCATAGGACCGAAAGATGAGGTCCACATGAAGAACTAGCATGTAGCCGACTTCAGAACTGGTTGTACCGGAAAAGCGAATATCTTGCATGTACGAGCAATCTCGGAGCCAATGGTCTGCCATTCGAGTGGTTTTCAAATCTGCTGAGCTTCAGTGTAAAGGCACAGCCTCCTGTTGGTAATAATTCGCTCTGCAAGAAGTAACTTGCCAATGCGGTACATAATTAAAGGTACGAGTGTTGACCCCAGGTCTGAGAGCAGCAGAAGGTGAACTCACAGGCAGCTATGCTGTGTACAGTGAGGATGCCCATCTTTTCCAACTCGCCTGGCAGTAGCTGTACAAAGAATTTTTGGTAGGATTCGAGGGCGCTAAAAAGGGTTGGATTTGTTTGTGAAAGTGATGAGCAAGATATGGGCAAAGTGACTTTTGCGTAACTTTCTGTGCATGCCTCATGAGGCACCTTGTAGGTGGAATGAGCAACTTATTCGCATTCAGATCATGATGTGCAAAGGAACTGGTTGGGTTTTGTTTGAAATTTGTCAGCTTGCTGTTCACAGCACCACCAAAGCACATGATCTAAACTCCCTGAACCAGACCTTCTCCAATCTTTGTGCACACCTATAAAGGAGGAGGCTCCTTTCTAGCTAACAGTCAGTTCCTTTGTGGGCATAATACCTCCTCCTCATTATCACCACTATCTGGATTTGTATGCTACTAGTCCTTACATCCACCGTTTACTGCTCCGGCAATGTCTGCCTTCGACGTTGCCTAGGCCTTAAGAGTGTAGTGGACTCAAGGAACATTGTCTGTGGAACTCACACCTGATCTTCTGATGGCGCCCAGCAAGCTAGTCGCACATAAGAACTGCAATGCAGATGGCAGCGAAGGCTTGGTTCTAGAAGTTCGGATAACCTAACATTATCTGGAATGAAGTCAAACTGCTGGACATTCATTCAGAAAGTGGAGTTCGACAGTGCGAGGTTTCAGTCACCAAACTTCGGACTATCCACTGTTGTAGTATGGTGAGCGCAAAGCAGCAGACAAAGCTTTTGGGTGTGGCTAGAGGAGTTCACTAACAGCGAATCTTTGGCCTCACTGGGCTGGGCATGCAGTTGAACCACCAGAGCACTATCACGAGAGTGCATCTTCTTCTACTCGACGAGTGCCACAGTGCTGCTCCTCTGTGTGTGTGTGTGTGTGTCTCGGACCCATTCAAGATAACACGAGTCAGGACCCAGCTCGTTTACGAGCCCCAGATGCAGGAGAGACACAGTAAAAAAGTTACTCAAAGGTGTCTGCCGTCTGGTAAAGTTCTGGACCAATTATCGTTAATATTAGAAAGCATAGGCCTGCCAGCTAGAAAGGTGATGAGCATGACAGTTGGTGGTGTCGAGGAAGATTAAAGGATCCGAAGAGGCAGCAGCTCGAGATAGACTTTTTCGGTGGGCACTCATGAGGAGCACGTCCTTTAGACTTCGGCCTCTACTGCCATCACCCGGAAACAACAAAGGAGAGGGTGAAGGCGGAGAGCATGGTCGCTCTTGCATCCGAGGATGTGTCTCAAATAGATTTTCACCATGTATTGCAGTGAGTCCTCGATGTCGCGACATGATTCCTTGTTGCTATATGCATAAATGTGGTGAAATCTTGTCTCCTCTCGGCGTTCTCGCCGAGCTTGCATCATTCCCCAAACTGCGATAAGCTGAAATAAAGTCGATCCAGGGATATCATTTGTGAAGGTCGTTTGATCGAGGACAGCTTCATGACTGGGCTCGAATAGGCTCACCACCGTCTGGGTATATGCACTCTCGCTGACAGGAAGAGGTACAGGCATATATTTTCTGTCATTCAAGACTTCAGTCAGAGTTTATGACTACCTTTTTCTGTTTTCAGCGAAGGGTAGCCTTCAGAGACAGCACAAGGACGTGAATCGTCGTTCTTATTACGTTCAGACTTTCTTAGGTAGCACTAAAATCTCTGATTTGAAGTACTTCTCTCTCAAGACCTGCTGTCGTTCCGGATATGGCCGTATAATAAGTTGCTGACTGCCCGCATGGAGTGAATTCGAAACTCTGTGGCTTTGCATTCACTCGAAACTTTTTTCGGGGTCCTTCAGGGCACGAATCAGGCGATTAAGATGTGACTCGGAGAAAATTGCAGCAGAATTCTATGCAATAAATAGCTCAAAATTCTTCATGATCACGTGGCTGGCCCGTATCCGTCATGATAAGAGTCTTGCGGCATGAACTGGACCATCTCGGAGAGGAATCAGAAAGTGGTGCCTGTGATACACAGCGCAAGCAACGATTCTGCTCCGCTCTCTGCATGACAAAACTCGAGGGAAAGCTGCAGTGACATACCAAGTGGCATCTAGAGCGAAATGTTTTTGTAGTTTTGCAGCTTTTGTCACTGGCCAGTGGACGCCAACTCGGACACGTTACGGATAGATATTTCAAAGCTGGAGGTGCCCGCTTTCGGAAATGAAAAACAAAGAATGGTCGTCTGGTCTCATCTCATCCCATCATGAGCAGTTGAAGTCTGAACAGCATTTCCAAGAAAATCTTCCAGTCTTTGCGGCCAGAAGTCAAAGTTGCGACACGGAAAACAGTTTTCCATCCAAAGGTACCATCGAATGAATGTCCCATAAATGGAGGGAAAACATCCTCGTGGCTTGAAGGTTCCTACATATGTAGATTCCGAATTCAATTATGGAGGTCCAGCAAGAGCTGGGAAGGCCGGCAGCCACCACTCCCCATTCCCAAGTGCCAGCCAAGACCAGTGTTGTGATTGTAGAAGAGGAGAAACACTCTCACATCCGAGACAGAAATGCTTAATCTAAGTCTCTCGAGGCTGTTCATTGCTCCATCATGAGGCTGGGATTGTTGTACTCGTGCGCACAACTTCCTTACTCAGCTGTTCTGCATATTTCATGCATACACCGGAGGTCGTCTCTTTCAGTCTGGAATCCTCACTCGACATCCATCACAAAAGGGGTTTCCTAGAATCAGACGGTGGCCATTGCAAGTTCACTCAGGTCTTAAAAACGTGCTGAAATGTTGACACCCAGAAGCCAAAGAAGAGGGAGGCCGCTTGAAAAAGTCACCAACTTTGAGACATCCCATAGACATACAGTTCAAGTTCACATTTATAGTTCACAATCTTTCTCATTCGAGCTCAAAGTGGTGGATAACTTGTCAAATGCCCCTATAGATGATCAGTAGGGTTGAGGGGTAGACACTAGTCTCATCATTTTGGCGACGGCTCGATTTACCAGGTGCGAACGACAAGGTCTCCATCCGCACCTTGTGCACCATAATGGTGGATGTCATACAGCTGGCCAATGATGCATCTGGGAAGGTTGGATCTTGGACAACTCCAGGACGAGGTCCGACGAAGTTCATTGCGGCATTTCAGGTTGCACTTCTTCAGGCTGGCTCTCAGGAGACGCAGGCTCAGACCCGATGCATCACCGACCGAGCATATCACAGCTTCATTGTCTATAGGCCAGTTGATACGACGAGTAGATGACACTCAGAGGTTTCATACATTCGGTGCTTTTGGAGATCGAAGTCATGTCGAGTCTCATTATTGGAATCATGAAACATATTTTATGCTCGTCATGATTCAACGACGTGTTGATCTCCGTATGAAAGGATTTTCTTTATTCCCTTCATTGAATGAGAACATTAATGAAAATGACAACTGAATCCCTCGGTCCAGATCGACTCGCACAGGCCGCAAGGAAAAGTGATCGAGCATTGTTGGTAGTACTCGCATTCATCCTTTATTTGGACATGAGTTTTGGTGAGGTTGGTGATGAACAGTGGGCACGAGCTCGGCCATAACCTTTCTTCGTTCAGGACGACTGCGTGTATAACGCACAAAGGACTGGTACCCCTCGCCATCTCGTCGAGACTTCACTGAAATTCCTATTAATGATCAAAAGGTTAAAGAAATGTTGTGCTTTCGCTCGTTGGTTGGGGCCGTGAGTAGCTCATGTCTTTACACTGTTAGCTTATGGCACTTTGTATTTCACATTCTTCAGGTGTACAAAGGACTCAAGTGATGGAAATGATTGTCGATTTAATGGAAGCAACTGTAGATGAGTTACACATTTGTTCCAGTTCTATTCCAAACAATACGTTTCGTTAGCACTTATTGCTCTCTCCTTATTCAGTTGCATTTAAGGTCCCACTCTCCAGTAGTAGGTGCCATGAGTATGGAGTTCGCTAGTTTCTCACGGTACAACACGTAAGCATTTCAATTACCCTTTGGAAGCTCATATCCATGCCGTGCTGATTTCGTCGTCTCTCCCGTTCTTGAGCTTTGCGCCAAGTTTGACGAAAGATGATTCAAGCTCAAGAAACAGAGCCTCACGGTCTTCAACCTTTGATCGAAGTACCAAAAATGATTGGTTACAAGAAAAGTTGTCATGTAACGATTCACGAATTTTACACATTTTTAAAAGACGAAGATTAAGCCTGTGATTAAAATTATGGAGTATATAATACAAGAGATTAATTCTGGAATATTTCATAAACTTCTTATATACTCTATAGATTACAGAAGTTGATGGAAGTTTGCGTACCAACTGACCGTGACATGATAATTTTTTAGCCTTTTCCATATAATTTTGAAATGCTTATTGATAATGTTTTATAGTGTCAGTCTGTTCTTTGATGTAAATGTCTAGCTGGCACGCAACTTCTCTCTCTGTTTTTAGTATTTTGAACGTAGGCATTGACTTCTTTCTCTAAAGGGTTCTCCAATTTCACACTTATCGATGCATGAAGGGATCAAGACCCTTTGCACAAGCGCCACAAAAATGTTATATAGTAATTTTAAATGAAGATTATTCCAAGATTCCAAAATGATGATCACATTTCTTTGTTAAGGATGTGAGAAGTTTGGGTGATTATAGCGAGGATGACAGAAAATCTCAAAACGGATAAATCAGTAGAATCTTTGAACAAATTTGAATGCAAAAGTAATGATTTTAATCCTTATACTTCTAATTTCGTTTTGCTAATCCAAGTGGATTAGCATCACGATACCCTCACAAGAGTATAGCAGAACTCACCAGCTCCATTCAGCTTCTATCGTATGACTTGGAGTGTGATACAGTACCGTAGATGTCAACCTTCGAGGTGCTTAAGCTCTGAAATGCGAGTAATAACGAAGTGGTACACATTTACCACCGAGGCCAAATGGCCAAATAGATCATTGGAACTCCATGTCATTTGGCAGTAGGTCCATATTTGTCAGACAATTAAATTTTGTAGCATCATGTTGTGAGGTCAAACATATATGAATTTTTCCACTGATATGTTTTCCATCTATGGAGATATATTAATTATCAAAAAAATTTACAAAATAAACAACTACTCACAATACTGTATGATGAGAATAGCTACTGGAATTATTTGTACTTACTTGAATTCGTATACTCCTCGCTGAAGCATAGGGATTCACTTATTTTCCATTTGATCCAACAATGACTAACTGAAGTAGCTCTTTGAATTTCTCAATTTCAATATATGAACTAGATGTCCAAACAAATTTATTATATAAAGCTATGAGAAGTAACACATAACGTTGTTCGTGAAAAAGAACAAACAATAATTTTGTTAACGGTTAGGGCGTTTGATGCAAAAACAAACATGTAAAAAATTTCAAGTATTTGACTTTCTCTAAGAACACGTACGACCTATAATCTAATAATTACAAAACTTTGATATTTAAATTTAGACAAAATCTAGACACACATCCATATATATCAGAGAAGCATAACTGCGAAAACTTGAAATGTGGTGGAATTATCTCAGTCAAATGCAAAATACTATCTCAGCTTTGCAATGTTTACATATTTGAAAGTTGAATAAATGAAATCCACTTGATTGGAAATACTCCATGTTTTTTGTACATGAATCTGAAAATTCATGTAGAAAATAGAAAATTTTTCTGTATGTCAAAAATTTCTGATACTGAAAAGAATTCAAAAATTTATGCCAATAATTTTTACGCAATTAAGGATTTTAACTAATACATTTGATTTCACATTTTTATTAAATTTAATGGAATTGGAAATTATTTTTTAAGTATTTTTTCAATTGATGCAATTTTTATTTTGGCCGCTGCCAATATAATACCTCCTTGAAGCAGATACGCCGAGGCTTTATGGGGACTGGCTGGTTCATAGACAAGTGAAACCTCGCAAAACTGAATCTAAATAGATAGCAAGTGCTTATGGGCCTCATGCGACGAAGAATTCAAAAAAGCAGTGACAATTTTGCCCCCTTATTGTCATTTTTTTAAAATTAAGAAAAAATGTAAAATCGATAAAATATACTCAACTTTTTTATAAGAAAATGCTCAAACTCATTAACTAACGAGTTTCATATATAATAATTTGTGATCTGCTCGAATTATTGCTTTTGCTGATTGCCAAAATACAAATACGAATCACATTATCAAGAAATAAATATTTCAGAATAATAACTTTTCAAAATAAGAAATAATTGTATCAAAAAAATTATAATTAATTCTAATAAAATCTGTGCTTTCTTTTAGGTGCTTCAAAATCAATTTTTTATTTTGGAATAATCTGCTGATTTCTTGAAGAATTTTCTATTATTCAAATTAGTGAAACGAATTTTAAATTTCGAAGTTAAGGCTACCAGTCTTCTCTTTTTCAAAACTTAAAATGTTCTAAGAAATTTATAAACCATTATCTGACACTAATAAAAATTAAACATAATGGGCAAAGGGATGAAGTGATTTTTAGATGAAGAGGGTCAAAAGTGCTCTGGTAAAATACAATGTATTTCCAACACGCTCATAATTTTATACTTTTCTGTTCATGAGAATGCAGAAACAATGCCTTGGAAAAATCTTCCATACTCTGCCCTGTGAATCGATCTCTTTTTTCATCTCATCACCTGCCGGTGATTATGTACTAATTCTCTTCTATCTTGACTGGCCTGGTTAACGACCACTTTATATATAAATAAAAAAATAGAAATGTACTGCCCGGAATACCGCAAGAGACCATCCACCCACGACCGTAATTACTTCCAGGCGGTACTGTTCTCCCCGTCGAATACGCAAGGCAAGGTATTGAAGTGGGCCACGTCCGTGAGAGCAATAGTATGCAGCAACCTGTGGCCTGAAAGGTGTGCTCGCTTGCCTCGACCACGTACTCATACCCTACCACGTTACTAACATAGCTAAGAAAACACCTGTAAGTATTTGGATAACCAAACAAAGACCAGCCAACGAACCAAAACCCCACCAATAACTTACTATCCGAAGAAACTGTGTTCATACCTCGGACACGAACGAGCCAAAGTATGCAAACGTCTTTCAGCCTGTGGAGCTTGGCGATCGACAAAACCTGTACAGAGTGTACAAAACCTGTACCAATAGTGACATACATTGGTGCTAGAGTTCAAAGTCACTCACAAGAGGAAAATGCACAGCCTTGAGATAAACTCCCAATAGTGATGCTAGGTTTGGATGTCAATATTGGGAGGTGTCACTCACAAAAGTAAAGTAAGCTGCAATTTCACTGCATGATGCATGTCTTAGAACAATCTATAAGTGCGTTTGTTTGGTTGCAAGATTGATTTCATTCTCTATTCTGTATTGTTCATAAAAATTGACGTTGGTGCTATAATTGAGTTTAAATATTTATACATGTACAAAAATCTGAGTGAAACAATCTATGATACTATATGTAGAGAAATATTTGTCTGAAACCTAGAAAAAGTGAACTGTTGAGATAGACATTTAAAAATCTATGTCACATTAAACTTTCTCCCGGCTTTGTATTGTGAACATGATAAAGATTCTACCTCCGAAATTACATTTGGAACGGTCATTATTGGATAACATCCTGTCATTTACTGACGTTCTATCGATATTGGGCAGATTTATTAGTCATGGTTCTCGACTTTGATGTCACTGATGGGAGGTTAAACTCTGTAGTCGAAATGTCAACATGGTCTTAGTCTGCTTGGCGTACGCCTTTGTATTTCCAGACCACTGCTCCGACGTGGTTCATTGCTTTGATAACGGTGCTTGGCTGCAACTGACAGGAAAAAAGTAGTACTGTGTTATAAATACAAAAGTGTTCTGTCCGATGGAAGAAACCATTTGTCTGTAAGCTATGTTTATGCACCTTTATATTTCTGAAGTATCAAGATAATTCAGTACAAACAACAGAACGTTGGGCTTAATGATAAACAAAAAATAAAGGTTGAATCGTGCGAAATTAACGCCATAGGAGAGAAAGAAAGAAAGACTATGACGGACACTAAAACGTGTCGATCAGATGTGCAATCTCGGTTACTGAAAGGGAACTGCCATGATATCATTTCGACAATATGCACGGCTGCGAACTGATTCTATGGGATGATAATCTGCGTATGGATCCTTGCTGGCGAACAAAATGCTCTGGACCAGAAGCCAGTATCTAATTCTAACGTGAAAACTGATAAAGAACGCTTTAAACGCTGCCAACGAATTTTACTCGCCACCGAATGATTACACCATCACCAGCCTACGCACTTGTACTGAACATTCTTAGAGTAGCATGCCTATACTTTTCCTGGCTTACAGGACTGCACTAGATCCACAATGCAAACCGGACGGTACACGCATGCGTGTTGCAAGTGTCATAAACATGAAGAGACGACGAGAACATCTCTGAGCATTGTATATCACGACCACTGCGAAAAAGGTTGATGCAAGGAGAAACCCATGCACGGGGAATCAAGTCAGCGCCAGAGTACCGACCTTCGATTGCACATTAAAGAACTGAAAATGCTTGGATAGAACTTCTTCTCCTTCTCAGGAACCAAAGCCTGCTACGGTATATGCTCTGAGCAAAGAATGAGATCGGTTCGCATTCCAAACTCAAAAAGTAAAAAGAAAAAGACAAGTATATGCCTTCACATCACACAACCTTCCTAATAAGGGGCTGAACACAGTAAACTCGTTCTTGTCTGAGGAAACAAGCCCGTCATATGACATGAAGAAGCTGAAACAAAAGTTGAGTACCAAAAACCAATTTCAATTCGAATAAACTATCATTACAGTTTCTATGAATAGCATAATTTCTTTTCAATCCATCCTCTTAAATCCCACAATAATGACACGCGAACGATAGAACTCAAAAACCATAATCGCGTTGGCCTTGCCTTCTAATCGTAATGGCTACCTGCCCTGCTTGTAAAATAGGAAGACAACCAAAATTCTGCCAGTTCGCATTAGGCAGCGGTTTGGACTGCATCAGTCGAATCTGGTAGATATGTACAACTGCCTGGCATGTAGTTGCGACCCTACCAGGGTAACAAGCTGCCAGATCCACTCTAGGCAAAGTGGACAACCTTCAAATGCTAGCCAATGAATCGATTGCTTTAAAAGGATCATACTATAACCCAACTAAATCTCACAGTTCCCTTGCATCCACATTGATTTTCTAACATAATCAAAGTGGATTGAGTTAAGCTGCACTTGGGAATCTATATTCTTTGACTCAAGTTTGAACAAACCCGCCGGTGTCTTCCTCGACATCAAAACTTTCTTGCACGATCTGTTTCAAGATAAGACTCAGAATTGTTAAGATATCCGGAAATGAATCAACGCGCTTGAATTCACAGATAGATAATATGAGAGGCTTTGAAAAACACACACGATGTTATATATCTTCTTGTCTAGTAAAAAAACAGCGTAACGATGTTTTGCTGACTTGGTCTCAAAAAGGTCCGGGAACCTCTTCTTACCAAAGCTCCAAGTCTTTCGTAGGCCTCCATGACTTTTGGATCTTCTTCGTACTCGTAGCCTACTTGTATTATTCTTGTTCCGTTGACGTTCCAAAACGCTCTCCGACCACCCTCCTAACAAGATAGAATGACGTCAAATACAAAAGAATTGACTAGGAGAAAGTGGCGTCTACTCAATCTGTATCAGATTCTTCAAGAAGTTTTTTTTATCAGCAATTAGTACAAGATGAGTACAAATTAAGTTGCACATAGGCCATGGTTATGATCTTCCAAGATTTTCACTCCAGACAGAACTCTTAACAATGTAGATGTCGCAACCTAGACATCGCTTCACGTTGATGATGGAGTTCATACCTGTAAGGCAATCAAGTACAGCGCATCGGCAGCCTCTATACGAACTTGGGGATCATCTTCTCCATCCCGCTCGAACGACAAAGGAGTAGCTAGCTCAAGAGGCATCTTATCTGTGTCCTCTTCGCTGTAAGCCTGCGAAAAATTCACATCACATTCACAAATTTACTCATGTGTGCCATTTATAGCTTGTAATGGACAAACTACCAACCGCAGTTGGTGAAAAATCTGCACCCTGCCATATGGAGAGAATTAATTGAGGTGCTAAAGAAACTCAATTTCGGCGGTTTGCTAGACAGACAGTACTCACCCGCTTTCCTGCCAATGGCAACAGAAGAGCTGGCCAAAGAAAAGAAGACGCCAAAAGTAAACTCGGCAATTCCTCTTCGGCTTCAAAACAGCAATTGCGAACAGTACCGGCAACCTGACGAACCATGATGGCATGTCAACCATCAGCAGAAGGCACAGAGTCCTAATGAAATGGTAAGTAAGGGCAGGGAACGTAACGTCAATGCTCACATTGAGCAAAAACCATTTTCTCGTGGATGGATAGGTTACTTACCCCTTGCCGTCGTATTAGACTTCGGGAGTCGATTTGAGGAAGTATCTGCTTGAAGAGACCCCTGCTTTGATCCAGAATAAGTTTCCTCCCTGACTGTAAGCGGGTTATGTTCACAAGAATTGGAGCCACATGCTCGAACGCATCCTCGTCTGAAAATAGAAACATGTTGAGTTCAGCAACAATTGTAGCTAAACCTACTCTGCAATCATTGTGCTGAGTTCCTAAGCCCTTGTATTGAGCACATGAGAAGTACACTCCAGTAACCTTATTTCAGTCCGCATTATTTAAAAACGTGTCATGACGGACACGACTTATTAAATTTAAACACTCTTGCCACTAATTTGAATATCCATAATGGTTCATCAGAAATATTCTACACATTCAGAACAAAAGAAAAGTTAGATATGATAGTTCAGAAGCAGTACTTTCCTTGTCCGAAGAAAATCTGGTGAAGAATCTCACGAGCCGACTGACATTCAATCCAGCCAATTTTTCATCTCCCTCCTACACCTTGCATTTCCAAGAACAGTATATTGATCAGCAAACTAACTTAACATCATCAACCTATTCAGACTCCTACGCCTATGCTGCAAGCAAGTAGACTTTCGAAAATACGTCTCACAATCCTCTGCTTTGCACGAATAACAACCCGACCAACGATGAGCTTTGGAAGAAAGCGCAGTTTGTTACAATGACATGGTTGTGTATAAGTAGAAACGTATGACATATTAGAAAGCAAGCGATGGTCTTTTCGAAAGAGGGACCCAGTCAAACTGAAACATTGAATCAAATTGAATCTAAACAATGTGCGAGAGTTGTTTGACATCACAGCTGGAGTAAAACAAAGATCAATTTATACACAAAAAGAGCTAATAAACGATACATCACAAAGCGAAACAGCAGATTCCTATGAAAATTCACCTGGAGAAGCCGTTTCGCACCAGACTCGACCTGTGTGAGATTGACAAGAAGCATCACCAGCAACCGATTGATGCCGCAGCCACTCTTGCCAATTAATTCCATCACTTTCTCGACAGCTCCAGCATTTAAAAAAGTATCCACTGACTTGTTGTCCTGAGAGAGATTTACGAGGGCCTCCGCTGCTGGTTGAGCAATCTCCTGAATGCCATACAAGAAGGGAATAAATTGCCACAACCGACGACCCTTTTGCAAACTACCAATCAGCTCTTTACAAAGTCACAGAAACCAAAGGGAGATTTCTGCACAGAGATCGGCTATTGGAATTAAAATAACGAGAATTGTCATCCTAACTTCAATTACCTGCGTATCTGCTAAGAGATTCAGAAGAGGCGGCAACAGTTGCGAACATTTGGAACTCAAAACGCGGAGGCCATCTTCAGTCCCAGTGAGGCCTTGTACAATGTCCACGGCGGCCTTCTTCAACTGAAAATTAATGTAACCAACCATCATGATACACACCAGCTCCGTGTTACTCATTTCTAAATTCCAGCAAAACTCATTTTCGATTAACCACACAAACAAACGAAATTCATATCAATGGCATAAGATTCGATCATCTACGCTAGATTTATCTCTAGCAATGCAGTTCAGACATTTAATAATTTCGACGGAAATCGCACCTGTGGGGATGGCGAGGCGAGAAATCCCACAAGATCATCAAGGTCGGCCGACATAGCTGCTCCAATCTACTTCTCAAATTTGAAATTTCTTCCGACCTCGACAAAGAGCTTCGGACAGCTTTAGGTGAGACGGCAAGAGCACTTCATGGTAAAGACAGGGTTTAGGGTTTATAAAGCCCACTACAGTTACTGCACGGTCGAGACCAATTATAGCCACCGCTCTGGGAAAGCTGCACAAATCGGTGAAATATTTCTCTTGTTGAGCAAAACTCTCAAGGCGTGGAATGTTTCCCCTTTATCTCGACAAAGTTCGACACACTTTACTCTAGATCCATAAAAAACCATTGAACCAGAATTCGTAAAATCGTCCAGTCTTGTTGCTGCCATTATTCCTTGGAGAGTTCAACATAGGTACGATGATCACGTGCCATGCGAATTTCAGTTTGACTCTTGTGATATTACATTTTTATTTTCACTGTCGGTTTTATATCAGCATTATTCAATACCTTTCACGCCTCACAAAGGACTATCTCTGTCGTTCTCACGTCAAGAACCTCTTAACAGGAGAACAGGTGGCAACAAAATGGACTCGAGGGAAGGGACAGCTTTGTATTAATGAAAAGGGTGGAAATGGAAATAGAGAGAGAGGACAACGTCAAGTAACTTGCACGAACTGGTTGTGATAATCTGAAAAGGAGAGATATATAAGAAAAATTATGTGTATATATATATATATATATATATATTGCAATAAGATACTATACCTAACATTTTCTATATCGTTCTCTACTTAAAATCTGGAAGGAATCACCAAGTAATATAGCAAAGAAAGGTACGAATACCCTATCAATTCCAAGAAGGACCTGACCAACTTGGTTTTGATATAGTATATATCTTAGATTATCATAATCTAAGATGACGAGAATGAAAACTCATGTCTTGTAGTATCATATGCTTGCATATCCTTTCACAAATACATAGTGTCGTAACATAGAAATATCTGATATCATTTTAAGGTTAGAGAAACAAATAGCTAAACATTTTGCATATAGAAAGTTGAATAATCACCAGTGCTGAATTCGTTCATTGTGTATGATTGATAACAATCGCGTTGACAATGGCAACTTGGTCCCCTTAAGTTAAATAAAAAATCGGCTCTAATCCTCCATGCAATGTATTTACAATATCACAAAATATCACATCAATAAATAACTATGAATTTGTATCATAAGAAATAAATTTTTCGTAAAAATGTAAAAAATACACATGAAAATTGTATACAAAGAAGTGCTATTACATTAAAAATTTCTTATAAAATATTCGTTATAAAGTATTACATACATATATTACAATTATTTTTTTTTTGTTTTGAAGGAGTTTAGATTGTTCTTCATTTTTTGACATATTATAAAGGAAAAACTACTGTTAAGCCAAATTCATTTTTTGCATAAAAGACACACAATTTATGCAGCAATAACTCTTCACCACATCTGCACTCTTTATTTTTGAGCCAAAAATTTACAATATCCTATTTTCAATTTATACTCGTATAACTCAAGGTAATCCAAAACTGCAGTTCGATTTACGTAGATATACGGTGTGGAAGGTCTCAATTGCATAATAGGCTTCAAATATTATATATGTCTCGCCATTTCCTTCATAACTTTCTATTGATGGTGAGACATAATTCGTGATCTCTTATACCTCTTATTTTCCTATATATGAATGTTTGTCCTTGTAGCTAGTGACAATATTTCCGACACAAAATATGTGGTTTATTTCCGTGAGGCTCTATCTGTGAAATAATAAGGTCTCTTAACTGAAACTCTGATTAGAGTAGTTCTTAAAATATTACGCAAGCTACCTAGTCTAACTAATTTTAATACAACTTGAATAGTTGATCAAGACCTGACTTGATTATTTATAATTTTTGACAAGTTTTAGTTTGTGAAAAATGCACATCAAACTATAATACTAGACTGAAGTGAAGTTCACTATTTTTGACATTTTGTATAATATATTGTAATCAACATAGACACATTGCTGTATAAATTGTAGATAACTATATTTGTCAGAAAAAAGCAAAGATCATATAGCCTAACTGACTACAAGTTGAATAAGCTATAACCCTTTTTAAATCGTTTTGTAATATTCCGGTGGTTGCCGCGAAGAATGACGTCATAGCGCCTACAAAAGTAATAACAATCAAAGCATTGGGTGAGTATTCAAATAAAGGGGAGCACCTTGCTATCATAAAAACGCCTGCTGTTACCATAGTAGCTGCAAATGGACGATTTTTCAAAAATTTTATCTGATCTAAATCACATATTATATAAATAATAAATATATACTGATAAATATAATTATCCATTTTATGTAGAGAATATTTCTTGCGACATAAGATTGCAATTAAATATTCAGTTAAAAAACCTTTCATACGAAAAAGAACTTGTATCAAATTTTATTTTTTACAATGAATCTTTGCAATGTATAGATTTCTCAAGCTATTGGCTACAACATATGAGTTTGAAACATTATCCAATAAAAAAACATGATTAATTCATCGGTTACAGTAATATGAAACTTAATAATTCAACGTTTTTTTTCCACATGAAACTATGTGATTATCCAACTTAGATTGCCTTTTTATCTTTGTTTACATATACAATGTGGAAACCTCTTTAAAGTTTTTTCCTTCAAGTTTTAGTGCCAATTTGATATATTGAATGAAAAATAATGGAACATCAAATAGAAAAACATGAAGAATTCAATAAAAAAATTATTATGTCTTGGTAAATGATATGGTGAAACATCATGCATGTAATAATCAACTTCATTGCAAGATATCACTAACCAAAGTTTGCATGTGCTATAAAATAGATGAAACTATGTTCAATTTGATACTTGGATGTACATCTTGATTACTAGCAATTTTTTCATAGATATTTTTATGTTCATTACTAATGTTTAATCCCTTACCGTTTGAAAGACGAGATTATTTTAGCGTGATCTTCTGAAACAGACTATTATTAGGAACAAGCATTTTTTTGGGGTATGAGACCAAGATATCTTTTGCACATGGCTACAAATCGTGAACTCACACATAGTCCAGGAAGAATGCGGACTGCGCATTCTTCCTATCCTTATATAAGAAGAAACTTCAGAGCAAGGTGGCCATGGGCTCAATCAAAGGCTGTTCTTCTGACAGATGTTCTCGTAACGAGAGTGGATAATGTCCTCGAGGCTCTGGCTCAGTTCACTGGATTCCGACAGCGGTCACGACGAGAGGGGCCCTTGCGAACGCGCCACGAACGATTCATTCTATCGTGTTGGGGGGCTTGCAATTTGGGAACGGCGTGCTGATGTGTCCCAGTCTCCCCCAACTCGTTCGAAGATTTGCAATTCTGATTCTTCTCGCCACATGAATGCTTGAAAGCTTGAGCTTCCTGTTAAAAGTCAGTTTACGTCGCCGAATCGCGTGTCGGAGTTTCGTTCTGTAGTGCGGTGTTCGTTCCTCTGCAATGTTCTCCTCAATGATTTGATTGATAGATTCATGTCGCCTAGTTTCTGAAAGTTGAGACGTGTGAAATTGAGTGAGAAATTTTTGAGCGGGAACGCGAAGGCTGCGTATGCGCCATAGCCGTCCCAAATTCCATCGCGTTTTGAGGTTGAAGGTTCGCATTCGTGGACGTTTTCCTCGAGGGACTGGGGTTAGGATCATCTTGAGCAGTGGGAATCCGGAGAGAGGGCTAGTGTTTTGAATTTCACGAAGTTCCACCATGATTGCACTTACTTGCCCCACCGCTGTTCGGATTTGCTCTCCTTACAATTCGTCCCAAAGGAGTGCAGCTAATGTCGCATCAAGCAAAGCAGTCGTGTCGCCCCTGTGCCCTGGCAATAGCGGGAAAGCTGTGGCAGGTTCAGTCTCGAAGGGTTTTGGTGCGGGCCAGCAAAATGCGGGACTCGCGGACTCGAGGCTCTGGAAATGTAGATCCTCTTCCGGAGAGGTAGAAGCCACACAATCGGAAGTAGATATTAGTAAGAAGAATGCGAAGGCTCGCTTAGCATCTGGCAGTCCAATCATCGTCGTGGAAGCGCCTCCCATGCTGAAAACAGCTGAGCCTATGCCCATGATGCGTCCAAACTTGGGTTTGATCAAGGCTGGTGATGCTGGCAGGTAAAATCTCGTGCCCACATTGTGATCGTTCATTGTATAGCTGCGGACATGAATGTCTGATCCGGTGCAACTGTGTAGATTCCATGAAGCTTTGGTTGTTTTAAATGACTGTTCACTGTTGAAAATACTTAAATGGCCACCTGAATTGCCATTCGGGTAGCCATTTGTTGACTGTTCTGAAATCGGTCGATACGTGCTTCCGAAGCAAATCACTCGTTTCTGGAAATTTTTTGTGGTTGGATTTTTGTTTCTTTGGTGTTGTTACAGTAAATTAGAAGCATAGAAGATCTTCATTATTCGAAGTATCACATACTCACTCTGGCTGGTCGACAGCCTGTGTTGGTTTTGGGGGCGATTTTAAAATCTTGTATCACGCTTTGATTTTCTGATGTTATGGGGATTGTCTACGGGGCAGGATTATCGATAGGAGACCGAAAGACGTATGGGCCGTAAGGTTTGCAGCGGGGGCTTACCTTATTGACGGAAAGTATTTTGAAGCTCTGGTTGAGGAATGAAGTTATTCTAAGTTGAGGAGCTCCGAGTCGGTCCTCTGTCTGAAAAGCCCTTGGTCGGTGGTAATTGCCAGAGAGATTTGGGATTGCTGTGCGTCCAGTGCAGCCGAAGGTCTACCTCACAGCTTTAGATTTCACATCATTCCAAGTTGGACTCTCTTGTTCTAAGATTTTGTAATTCGCCCCTTAAATCTCTACTCGTCAGTTGGGGTTAGTGTTTGTGGTAAACAGTTCGAATTATGAAGGTATCTCTTCTCATCCATATTGCTCCAAATGATATATCTCCTTCTCTGAATGAGAAGGAGATAAGTTAGTGTAATCATATGAAAAGGCAGCGCTTTCCGACTGACTTCTCTTGCAGTCGATGTTCTTGAAGCTTGCTTTATATGCATAAAGTACTTTACCACTGAATTGAAGAGATGCAGGGACTTTTTTAGATTCAAACGATTACTTGGTTCTATCACTTGCAGTGTCAGAAGCCAAATTCGTTCTAGCTCGATGTCGTGCCGGAAGTTCTTCCCTAACGTAGCTCTTGATGCTTTTGTACTTCGTCGAACCCCAAGCTCGGTTGACTTTGGATTTGGTGATTACAAGTTGTTCACATGCTCAGAAGTTTTTGGTTTCCAGCACCAACAATCTTGGACAGGGCTTGATTAAAATCTGAGTTTCTGGTTGAAAGCTTTCGTTCCTAGCTCAAGTATGATCGTCAACGAGAAGCTTGTGAAAACATGCTGAACGTAGCCTGTCAACAGGGAAGGATATCATACATTGCCATGCTTTGCAAATTCAAGCAGAATGGTTTCGATTCCGACTCAGAACTCTTCAGTTGGATCAGCTTTAACTTCTCAACTTGTCACCCTCATCTAGCTTAAGAGGCACTCCTCCGGCGCTCTACGCTCTCCGTAAAACCATCCTGTTCAAAAGCCGAAGGGATCAACAATAATTCTATTTTACTGGAATCCTTCTGCTACTGCCAGGGATCCCATGTGACTTCCGAAGGCCTCCTACATGAAACGCGTTTGGGCTATTTGACCGATCCTGCCTGACCACCTACTTTATTTTCCGGCCTCTCCTCGGAGCAATTAGGAGCCTGTTAATGGATTTGCATCAAGGAGCTCTGTCTGAGTATTGACTTAAAGCAAAGAGGAAAATTGACGAAGGCAGTGGATTCAAACCCTCGGCATCCGTGACCTGACTGAAACGGTAAAGGTGACTTGGCATTTTTTCACATTCCATCAAATATAATTAAAGGGGCAGACTAGGGCCAGACCCGCTACATACAAACAACTGATTGACGCGCAATCAGTTTTTTGCGCGGAAAAGCAGGCTTCCACTCAAACCCAACTGCTAACCCGAGCTCGTCCGCGAGGCAGAGGAGAGCGTAGTCGAGAGGCTTCGAGGGACATGCCCCTGAGGCCGTCGCCGGGGCTTGGGCAATAGCAGTGCGCTTGGGTTGTAGCAGAAGTGCACTTGGGTAGTAGCAAAAGTGGGCATGGTAATTAGCGGGCCACACCCGCCGGGGTGTGGCCAGAGCAAAAACGGGTGTGGCCCTAGTCTTGCCCATACTTAAAACCACTTTGAAACCTAAACTAGAAATGAAATCTTGCCAATTACTAATCACGGAGGCTATCGGACGAGTGAAAGGATTGTAGAAGTGAGAAAGCACGCATAGATAAAAGCCGAGATTTCTGTGCCTACGGTCACTGTAAGCTCGACCACTTGGCAAGTGATGGAGGGATGTCTGAACCCTGGTCTTGAGCCACTTGTCAGGCTGTCAAGTGACGGTATCCGTAAGCTCCTCGGCAGTTGGCAGTTGACAGGTCTGAGCGTCTGTGACCGGTATGAGCACCCGATGCTGCAGCAGCCCTGAGAGCACATTGCATCGGAGGTTGAACCTGGCAACTCCGACACACTAACTGCACTGCAGCAGAGCAACCAAGAGATTCCATGCAGCAGTCACAGTTGCCTGGCACGAATCAGGTCAAGCGTGCAGGGTCTCCCGCCCAGCTCGGGGCAGCCTGGTACCACAGTTACCCGGGAGTAGTCAAGGTACGTGTTCTGAGTCTCTGATCACATCGGGGCTGCCCTCGGTGTTCGGAGTGACTCAAGACCCGATTGCTTCTGTGAAGTATAAAGGAATGAATGACTTCTTCTAAGAGCACATTGTGATATGCTCTAACACATCGGAAGACGAGGCTCAGTGGAGGGGATCATAGCTCTCATGCTCTCTCAGCTCCTGCCTGCCGAACTGCAACATCCAGGCAGTCAATGCACCTCGCCAGCAAAATCAGCACCCAAATTCTCCTCCAGAAATCATGTCGTTCAGATCCTGCTCCATTTCCTCTCAGATTAGCTAGCTAGCCGCAATGCGGCAGAAGACGAAGATCAACTTTCCAGCAATACCAGACGTCAACCTCTATGAAGCTTTACTTTCGTACATGAGCTTCTCCGAAGGATACTGTACGGTACCATCCCGTCCATGGACACGACATCTCGCTCGGACGCGAAGAATACGTAGCAGCCAGAAAGCAAATTATAGTTCTCCGGGAAGCTTCATTGTCGAGAGACGAACTCTTGCCGCTCGTTAATGTTTATTGATCGAAAAGAGCCTACGAGAGAGTCGAGCATTCCGAGACACAAGTGTTACACAAAATCTTGCCAGTTGGGTTTTACTTATGCATGGATTTCAGTTTGCCAGCTGCGTTGCTCCTCTCACTCAATAGGACGGGATGATGCAATACGTGGACCCCATGAATATTCTAGCGCACCGCAAAGAACTGGGAGTACACCCTGAGACACAGCAGACAAAGATACTGTATTATCTAGTTCCAGATCCTGAAGCGATGTGAAGGACCGAGCTCCCAACTTTCGCGAGCTCGGTTAGGCAAAGTCCAAATTTATTATATTTCCCCAGATCCTGCAATCCTCAGTGGACAAAATGCTCCGATACCGCTGAAAGTGTAGCTGGTATCACTGCTCACGAACAAATATCGAACAGAGCGATACAAGACAGGACACGTCCCCATCCTGGTAGCACATCAGTAACCCTCGGCATTGATGTTCGTCATCTGGGCCAGTACCGAGACCGTGAAGCAGATCGCTCTAACGGCACGGCACACCAAATCCGCATTCCCAGATTACTTAATATTCCCGGATTCCCACTTATTCCGTGAAACCCAAGTGCACTTTCTTCAAAAAGTCAAGGTTTGATGAGAATTAAGCATCAAATCCCCGCAGACCAACCAGGCGGTGCAAACAGTAAGATAAGGCTCTTACCGCCAAAACCCTTCTGCATGAGAGTAGGCTTCATTTCAGCTCGTCTAAAAGCAAAAGGGAAGGGCGAGTTGTTTTCAGGCCCGATGGTGAACATGTTATATGTTAGTTCCGGTTTTGCATCTACTGCAAAACCATCATGTCAGAGTGATTGAGGGACCTGCGGCTCGATGCTAACATGTTAACACGAAGATCTGGAAAGAATCCGATACACGAGACGAGCTATTTCCTTGACAGCTACCTCTCGCCCTCTCTCCCTCTTCTCCCTCGCTTTCGAAGCTCTTCGTGGGATATTATATGAGATATTTATTTGCAGCCTGGCTACTGGCCGGGTTGCGCCGAGCACCGTCGTCATTGGAGCAGTGAGAGGGACGAGGAACGAAAACTTACATTTCAGATCTTTGTCAACCGATTGCACGGCTCACAGAGCTCTTGGGCTTACAACTCACTCGTACTCTTTACAGGATTCCTCGATCGTAGAAAACCAAGGACTCTGTCCAGCACTCTTCTCGCACCGTCGTTGCACTATATAGTCCGCATCGGACGGGGTTATAGGTACACTCGTTCAAGGGAAAGTATTCGGTTGTCCAGATCTTTCAGCAGCAATGGCTTCCATCGTTGCTTCTTCCGCCATCGTCACCCCGGTTTCAGCTTTGGCCGCGACCACCAGCACCTCGTCGGCCGAGGTTGTGTCCGTCAAGGCTTTCTCAGGCCTCAGGGCCGGCGCATTCGCAGGCAAGGCCGAGTGGCAGAAGAAGACCATCACCAATGGCAGCCGCATCAGCTGCATGCAGGTCTGGGAGCCCTACAACAACCTCAGGTTCGAGACGCTCTCGTACCTGCCGGCCCTGAGCCAGGATTCTCTGGCCAAGCAGATCGACTACATGATCTCCAACAACATGATTCCGTGCATCGAGTTCGACACGCAGGGAGTGGTGTTTCGCGAGTTCAGCAGGATGCCCGGCTACTACGACGGCCGATACTGGACCATGTGGAAGCTGCCCATGTTCGGGTGCAAGGACTCGTCGACGGTGCTGGGCGAGGTCGAGGAATGCAAGAAGCTGTACGGTGACAAGTGCTTCATCAGGGTGCTGGGATTCGACAACATCAAGCAGGTCCAGTGCTCTGCCTTCATCGTCCACAAGCCCGGCCAGTAAACAGAATTCGCCGATATCTCGACGCGGATCCGCTTCTGCTGCTGCGAGCCGACGAGTAGGTCGAAGGTAATCGAACCCGGGAGCCATGTCTCCGCAGCTCAGACGACGCCGGAGATCAGCGTCTGTATCGATTAGCGTCAGATTGCATCGACTGCCAAGTTTGAGCAGCAGGAGTCAGGAGTCAGTTCGCCGAGGCCACCCGGGCCATCGTGCTTCTTCCTCGTTTGGTTTGCAGCATCAGACGCCTAGAGTGATCTAATCTTGCACTCCCGTCGTCGGCCGCATTATCGGCCAATATTCATAAAGAGTCCTTTTCGGGGCATATTTTCCCTGCCATCATTCCATTTCTCGTCCTCGCCCTCGATCCCATGCCTTTGGTCTGCATTTGGTCGCAGCCCGATCTCAGTCTCAGTCCCGATCTTAGCCCAGTTCCGGCTTCAATTAGTCGTCGGTCAATCAGTCGATCGATCATTCCGTCAGTCAGTTTCTCGTTGTAGACAGTGCTCTGAGTGTAGTGGCGGCTGCCGCTTCGTCACCCCCCGGTCCCCCCACCGCCACCTGGCCAGCTCGGAACGAACCGGCATGAAGGCCCCAGTTGTTATCTTGTCGTTTCTGCACGTGGTCGCAGAATCTGGGCCGTCGATCATTTTTCGGGTCCACGTCGTTATACTGTCGCGAGGCTACGAGACAGAGTCTACGAGATTGTTTTAGCTTTAGGTCGGGTCTGTACGGAGGTTTGCTGCCGTCAGCGCCCGGGGAATGTCCGCCCGGTACTCCTACGACGAGGATCTGGTAGTGTAGCCATGTTTGTTCGTTGTGGGCAGGGCGAAGAATGACAGTTGTGAGCAGCAGCAGCAGGTGGGCAAAACATCGAGACAAAGCGCCACCGAGTACGTACCGTTCACGAGCCCTAAAACTGTCACTTCTGAAAACTTGGTAAGTGTCGGAACGTGCCGAAGTATCGAGCCAAATCGACAGCCTCGACTGTAAGTGAAGATCTAACAGCTGGTAAACCTGATGAAGCATAAGCAGCAGCATGAACATGTGACTGGACAAATAATATGCTTTGCTGATTTTCATTCCATACTTAGAATTAAAGTCTAAATCTTCAAATTATCGTAATCAAAATTTCATCGTATTGACACTGAAAAGTGAAAATGTGTCATTGAAGTGAGTAACACGAAATGAACTTCGAATGTGGAAATCATTGTCACTGTAAAGCAGACAAGTGGTAGAAAAATGTATGTCATGTCACGTGTACCTTGGATTCGGCCAGTTACAGCTGACTTCTTATTCCTAGAGCCCAAGAGCAGAGGCTAAACCCTCTGCCTGGCAGAATGAACAAATATCTGAGCTTAGCGCCGGATACTAATACGAGAAACTTCATGTGACGGACTGTGGAGGCAAAAATCCGTGAAAACCACGGACAGCACGAGCATCTAAGTAGATCCAAGTTTCTGAATTTTTACGCCTGAAGATGTAAATATCTCAATAATTCGAAGGTGACAACTGAAACCCACCGTCACACCACCGATTTCAGGGATCACCTATATCTGATCTCTACAGGGGTCTTCAAATTCTAGACTTGGCACACACGAAAGGAAGAGAGAATGCACGAGCCTCATCTATCTTGGTTATGGGGAATCGAACCAATCGGGCATCACGTCATGGCCTGAGGAAGCAGAAACCAAGGTGTCACGTTGACAGTAGACAAAATCTATTGAAGGCCTGGCGAAGTCCTGCCATACACGGCATTCCAACGGAACTCGCCGCATTATCTTCTTTCTCCGAAGATAATGTTTCGTAAGGAAGAACGGGGTTTAGGGGGATCTTTCGGCCTCGATTCAGCGGTCGAGGGCGGCTGTCCAATCCACTTGCCAACTTTTAGAGATCCCCCTTTTCAGCGAGCTTTGATTGACTCGCAGAAGCAACACACACGCCCCATCGCGGAATTCGTTGTCCTTCGTCCAGGTACCTCTATCCCATGACTATATAGAGATCCAGGGAACACTGTCTCAGCACTCTTGAGCATCCTCAATTCGACTGTTGTACCCCGATCCACAGCAGTCATGGCTTCCATCGTTGCTTCTTCCGCCATCGTCACCCCGGTCTCAGCTTTGGCGGCGACCACCAGCACCTCGTCGGCCGAGGTTGTGTCCGTCAAGGCCTTCTCAGGCCTCAGGGCCGGCGCATTCGCAGGCAAGGCCGAGTGGCAGAAGAAGACCATCACCAATGGCAGCCGCATCAGCTGCATGCAGGTCTGGGAGCCCTACAACAACCTCAGGTTCGAGACCCTTTCGTACCTGCCGGCCCTGAGCCAGGATTCTCTGGCCAAGCAGATCGACTACATGATCTCCAACAACATGATTCCGTGCATCGAGTTCGACACGCAGGGAGTGGTGTTCCGCGAGTTCAGCAGGATGCCCGGCTACTACGACGGCCGATACTGGACCATGTGGAAGCTGCCCATGTTCGGGTGCAAGGACTCGTCGACGGTGCTGGGCGAGGTCGAGGAATGCAAGAAGCTGTACGGTGACAAGTGCTTCATCAGGGTGCTGGGATTCGACAACATCAAGCAGGTCCAGTGCTCTGCCTTCATCGTCCACAAGCCCAGCCAGTAGATGAAATTTGCCGACCCTCTCACAGCGGACGGACGGCGCTGCAATGACCAAGTGGGGGCTCCGTTCCCAAGTGTCCAAGGTGGTGAATCTGCGAGCAACACACTTCGAGTCCACAACAATTTTGGGCCTGTCTTGACGTTTTAGTGCCATACGATGTCGGCAGTTTTCCAGTCTGTATTTTAGAAGTACATAGCGTAGGGAGATTCCCAGTGCCCATCGTCAGTCCATGCTCGCGACTGCACGTCGCAGAGCTGTGCTCTTGTTCATGGTTAATAAAAAGTCGGATTCATTTGAGGATATAATCACACTCTGTGAGGAGAGGTCGCCCTTCCTGTATCTGGTCGCACGAAGTCTGAGGTTTCCATTCGTTCGATACAGGTTCCAATCTAGCGCGTTATTTTGCTTGTGTGCGCACTCTGCAACGTTGACTTGTCATGAATCGACATTTATAGCCCACGAGTAAGTTACTCGCTCACGGCAAGCTCATTTAGCAAGTTCCAGTCTGCTCCTTCAGTAATCTCAATCGGAGATTGAGATCTTTCTCATGACGAGGGTGTAGTCTATGGAAGCACTCGACCCTCAAGCGAAACGTTGTGTTATCGAGGCTGCTTCTATAAACATTCATCAGAGCTCTGCCATATGTCACTCATCTCGAGCCAAAAGACCTGAATCCGTGCGTTCAGAATCTGGTTCACAATTAGTCATGTCGAAGATCTGGACGGAGGATGGTGCGAGCGCGACGTGAGCTAGGAACGTAGTTGACATTCCAGTCCATGTGATGATTTCTACACATTAATTCAGATTTAAATCGTTCTGTCACCATAACTCGTTTGAGAAACAGAGCTGTCACTCGAAGAAGTTGATATAATGGCAATTGCATTGAGGCAATCCTTTACGTAGTGAAGTACATTAGTTAAACCTAAACCATGAAGAGAGAGAGCGGTCGTTGACTAGAGGCAGAAGATCGACGTCTCGCGATAAGTTCTCTCTGACATTCTGATGTTCATTTAAGGATAGATCTTATCAGACATGCCACACCGTCATCTCCTACCAACCTAGGTTTGGAAAGTGGGCCGCCAGCCCCGAGCACGTAAACAGCAAAGAAGCAGGAAGTGGCACCTTTCGTATGCCGCATAGTGAGCCTCAAACCACTGCGAGCAGAATCTGGCCATTGTCCTCGAGCGCGTAAGTCATAACTCTCTCGACGTCATGCAGAACCAGATGAACGGCTAAGACAGGATCGGCAATGGCATCTGGTAAGCCATGGCAGCCATCACCAGGAAGTTCAGAGGAATTTAATCCAGTTGTTGCTTACTTTTCATTATTTCGGTCCGACGATCTGGGCTTGCAAAGAAGAATCGCGTCCCTCGGCTCTAATGATGAGCACACCAGAGTGCCAAGTGGAGCCAAAGCTCGTGCACAAGTAAGCGTACCATCACAAATTTGCAGCAACAAGTGGCAACGTACTGTGTGTGTGTAAATATAAATATATACAGAGAGAGAGAGAGAAGGAAAAGGAAAAGGAAGTATTCGGTATTCTGATGCTTTTCAACATCGATCTGAAAGTCTGGTAACCAGTAAGAGCTTCATGTTATTCGAGAATTTCATCGGCGGCAATGTGAAGGAAAGCTCTTCCACATCGTCTATCGAGTCACGAGGCCGCACAAAGTTTACTGCGAGGGCAGTTTGCGAGTTCAGGTGGTCCTTAACAGAACCAACGACGTACGAGATTATCCTCGCACTTTGTTGATGAAGGAAAATATGTGATTGGCAGTTTACATGCTGCACAGAAAACGGATTGGTGGTGGTACCTGGCACAGTACGATACTCGCAAACGAGTGTCTTTATCGAATCCACAGTTCTATTAATTACCGATTACACGTATTGGAAACCCGAGTCCTCAGATCGGAAGATAGAATCGGAAGTCGTTTATTCATTCAAACGACTCCTTCCTGTCCAACGATCTCCAAGCCCCCACGAGGCCAGTGGATGGACGCGAGAGACAAGTTCGTGATAGGCTAAAAGAAGGCTGTGAAAATATCTCCCCACTCCAATCCGCGGTCGAGGAGGCACTTCAGATTAACAGTCAGCTTTAATGGATTTCTCGCTTCGGAGTAAGCACGGCGGCCGTCACTGAAGAACGCTCCTTAGAATGCATCGGTTCTTACTGCTCAGATATTTTATATTCTCCGAGAGTATATAGACCTGGAAGAAAACATTCGTACCACCTCCAATCTCGACCTGAAGCTGAAGCTGAAGTTTGCAACACTCCAGCGACTCCAATGGCTTCCGTCGTAGCTTCCTCTGCCATTGTCACCCCGGTCTCAGCTTTGGCTGCGTCCACCAGCACCTCGTCGGCCGAGGTCGTGTCTGTCAAGGCCTTCTCAGGCCTCAGGGCCGGCGCATTCGCAGGCAAGGCCGAGTGGCAGAAGAAGACCATCACCAATGGCAGCCGCATCAGTTGCATGCAGGTATGGGAGCCCTACAACAACCTCAGGTTCGAGACTCTCTCGTACCTGCCGGCCCTGAGCCAGGATTCTCTGGCCAAGCAGATCGACTACATGATCTCCAACAACATGATTCCGTGCATCGAGTTCGACACTCAGGGAGTGGTGTTCCGCGAGTTCAGCAGGATGCCCGGCTACTACGACGGCCGATACTGGACCATGTGGAAGCTGCCCATGTTCGGGTGCAAGGACTCGTCGACGGTGTTGGGCGAGGTCGAGGAATGCAAGAAGTTGTACGGTGACAAGTGCTTCATCAGGGTGCTGGGATTCGACAACATCAAGCAGGTCCAGTGCTCTGCCTTCATCGTCCACAAGCCCGGCCAGTAAACGGGACTCGCCGATCTCTCGACGAGTGTGTCGAAGGTAATTGAACTCGGGGGCCCGGTAGGTGGGCGGAGTCTGTAGGTCACAGGTAATGACGCTGTGGAATTAAGATCCACTTCTGCATAGTTTGGGAGGATGCCAAGCTTTGGGTATAGAAGTATGTCTCTGTAGCGCGTCAAACTCATTATTGCTGAGGAATTTATTCTTGCGGGATTCTGAAGCCCTTATCTTTCGTCTGTAAACTGCTTGTTTCAAATTTTGGAAATCACGATGACTCTACACATTCGACTCATCATCTGAGTGCGAATGATGTGAGGCTCGATTATTCTTGTAGCGTTCTGTTCCATAATGAAGCTCTTGTATGAAATTTTCGTTCTTGACAAGTAAGCGAGTTGTCTGAGTGAAGCACTTTCCTGCCATGTTTGAACGCTAAGTGGACTGACACTTGTCTGCAGCATATGTTTGAGCTTGGCGAGCTTAGACATGCTAACCTGAGTGAATGACCTGAGTGGAAGGATTTGTCTCGTGTAGGCAGTTACTTCTGTCTGCAGGTTAGGAAGTACTGGATAGTCCTCAGTAGTCGGTCCAGAAGTTGGTCTAGAAGTAGACATTTAGACATTAGCCCAGGCGTACCTCTGTTTGGGCATCGATGTACATCATCACTCCATCAGCTTACCTAGAGTCATCATAGAAGATCAAGTCAGAGGGTTACTTAATTGTATATCTCTTAATTCTCTTAATCCAAGATGAAGCTTCTTGCACTCCTCAATTTCTACCATTACTTTGGAGCCAACGAGCAGCAGACATCGATTACCTGGACCATTGAAGATTTGCACGATATTATATTCATCTGTTCGATCGGTTTCAGACACCTCGACCGTTTCCGACTAGGGGTCAACTTCTACGGAAACTTGACGAGCGAACGACTTGACGCAGTAATGCTAGACATTTAGGAGTACAAAAAGCTATCGAGCACGTCCGAGAGATATTAGTGAGAAGTATACACAACCCTTTGATGATATATCGCAACGAAGAAATAGCTATAAAAACCTGCTTGTCGTTTTACTTAAAGTGTGAGGAATGCTTATTCCCACACTTCTCCCATACCTTTTGCACTAATCCAATTACTACCTAGCTTCTATTTGCAACAAGTTTTCACAAATCTTATCGAGATCATGTATAGGCTATACAGTATAACTGCGCAATAAGTAAACAATAAGCTAGGTCATTATAGATAGGATTGAGCGTTTCAGCGAAGTATAAATATCAAATGTGGGGATTTTTACAGGAAGAAAATAAACTGAAATAGCCTAAATCGTTCCCATATTCTAAAGTGTATTTTACCTTCAGAATTTTCCATTATCGCCCTGCACGACAGTACTAAATTCGTATATTTCATTACTAATTTACATACACTTGGATTATTGCACCATAGATATGTATGCCATGATCTGAATGGGAACCAGATGTAGTCGATGAAGATTACTAATTACTGGATATGGCCAACACCGAATAAATGAAGACTAGTTCTTCTCACTTTCGATATATCACCCAACGGCTCAAACATTTTTCAATCTCGATTGATAATAAATGGACAAATGTTGAAGTTTCAGGAAAAATGTTTTTATTTGTTCTCTCCCCACACCGAGAGGTTACAGCGATCGAGGTGTGGATACTATCTTCCAGAACTCAGACCTTCAGAAGTGCAGTTGATAGATTAGACTCTAAACTACATTCGCTCTTTACCTTTCCTCTCCCAAGTGTAGTTATTGTCAAGAATTCTTCCACGAAAGTAAACTTTCTTTCGCATGTGCTCCCAAATCCGGATCACATTACAAATCGTAAGAGCTTGCAAGCTTCCAGCAATCTGTAGAAAATACATTTCATCGGACGATAATTTATTCATCAATCTATATTATCGTACGATGCCAGTGCTCCATACGTGAACTCTAGCTCCAATATTGATGCATCTTAGCTGTGCAAACTCTTCATGTCTCCGCAACAGACTAGCTGACTCGACATATGCACACGGATCACAACGTGAACAAATGAAATGTCGAATAAAGAATGTTGAGTTGATTCAGCAGCAACCATACTGTATTCTTCTACATATTTTCAATCTCTTTGTGGAACTTGGTGTGTATATATACACAAAAACTTTCGGTTTATGTGTACATGCGTTAATTCAATGAAGTTATCTAGCAGCTATTCCACAATTGGAGACAATGCTTGATAATTTTCGGTTGTTTTTCAGACTTTAAGAGAAGATGATTTTATTTTTTTGCAATTTAAATTTGAAAAAGTTTGAGAATTTTTTCCCCAAATGTTTATATCCGTTGGTATGTACCTTGTAATCTAGTTTCGGATTCTTTATTGAGGTTCTCATTCTTCGAGACTCTGCGCAGATTTTGTCGAATCGTGTTTCGTTCTGGTGTCGCATGACTGTCTGAGATAGATATCAATGACCACTGCGTGAATATCTGATCAATCATAACGACGTATGGAGTCTGTAGATCACAAACATTAGTATACTCTTGCTCAGTCTGGTGATGTTCGTTCAGACGGAAAACACACACCAACTAACAAACATGAGAACGTACAACTCCTGGCAAAAGCTGAAATACCTCGTCCAGAAAGTTTATTCCGTTTGCTATTATGCCACATGTTCTTCCCTATAGGACTCTTGTCGTGTGTCCTTCACAGAGTGCGAGTTAGTCTTCCAGGAAAATGCACGGTGCATTTTTCATTTTGATGTCCAAGGTATTTTATGCCTCTACTTCTGTTCTCGCCTTGACCGCCACTTTCACAGTGACGCATGTCTGCAGTCGAGTGGTCAACACATCTTCAGGACTTGGGCAAGGCTGAGCGAGGTATTGGACTGTCCATTCAATCTCCGCTGTTGTCGTTGTCATTCACCTCAAACGCACTTAACATCACATGGGGACAAGGTAACCCCTTACATGAAAACAGAACACAATTTTCGGTCCCCGTCTGAGCAAATTTATCATCTTCCCAGTGTTCTCGGGGATAATTGTAGACCTGGATACTGTAAACTACTCAATTGGCGCAGCCTAAACACAATGCATCGCTAAGAGACCAACTTCAGCTCCTGCAAAATCAAACGTCGAGTGGTCCAAATTTGTGATACAAAGCCTCGCCCGGTCCTATATTGTCCGCTGAAGTGCAGTCACGAGATTAAAAAAGGTCGAATCACTAACCATGGACGGATGTACGACTCGAAGTCCGATGACACTGCGTAACTCTTGTGTGTATGTTGACAACACTGGTGAAGATGAAGGGCACAAGTAGGAGACTTGAGATCGCTGAGACAGATCATGAAAGTGGCTTAATCACTCTCTTCGTGGTAGAGAAAAGGCGATCACCTCATATCTTCCGAACAAGAAGGAATGACTCAGAACCTGCCCATAGTCGCTCAGGCTGATGATTGCTCTGAGAAGTGAGATCTCGATACTGAGCTGATCCGAAAGTCGATCGACTTGGGACCGAGCATACGATACAAATTGAAACGATATCAATCACCTCCGTGGGCGGTTGATGAAACTAGAACACACTGTAACACATCAGGTCTTGCAAGTGAGTCCAACAACGAGTTCAATGATTCGTTAAAACAACTCCCATACTGAAGCCTTCGATGCAGATTTTCGTCCGAAATTTCTCTTGACTCGTGTGGACTGTCAGCAGTGTACGAAAGGGCTGAAGAAGGACACTGATTCATGATGGGTTTGGGTTTCAATGCGACCTCGAACTTCCTGGCACGACAAGTAACTAGAAACAAATGGAAACCGGATGGTTTGTTGTTTGCCAATGTCCCGATTCTGAGAGAACAGTGGTTTGGGACAGATCAAACACTTGCGTTTCCTATAGACATGAACGTGGGTCTGATTGATCTACTTCCCGTTCTAGACCTCAGAGTCCAACTGCTTCCAGAAAAAAAACTCTTATCCATCCATGGGGGTTTATTTTATACAGTGTTTCATTATACGTTTGTTTATGAAAGGCGAGTTCGTGATGTACCAAATCTGGTGAAACGCACTGCAATTCATCCAAGTACAGGTCCTCTCATAAGCCTCTGAGGCTTCATTCTGTTTTTGCCTCTCAGAGTGGATTTTGGTCAGAGATGACCCAAGTCCAGAACACAAACCTCTGCACTTCATAGAATACTGACAACGAAGTTAGCCCAGTGCGAATGAAGGACGGATTAGCCATTGGAGGAGTTACAAAGTCGGAAGTAAGCGTTCGCGTATCATGATTTGTGGATTGAGAGTTATTACAAAAGATTCAAGCACTGCTTGTTAAGTACAGAAGTACTGGGGCTCATCGAGTGACTTCGACACTCTGAAACCACTTTTCGTACTCACCAATGGATCTCGTCGAGAATCCGAAGGAGAATAGATGGTTTGGAAACTCAGCTTCAGAATTTCTACTTTACAAGCATTTCGCTGAATCTGACGCAGTTTGGATGTCTCTTCATTTGTCTTGGCTGAATCTGCAGCAGTGACATAGTTCGGTCTTTCCGCAGCAATGTGAAGTTCATCATTGGAGCCGAAGAATATTGTCAGAAAGAGCAAAGGGGGAAAAAATTTCACTTTTTTAATGCTTATTAGGATTCACATGATATCATGACACGGTCGCTAGCAGAGAATAACAACACAGCGAGTCCTCTCGATCAATAATAGATTGTCAGACAAATCGAGAAGCCCTAATCTGAAAATACATTTAATACACAATATTTCTGTGAGGAAGGCTGATTTGAGCCCAGGATAGAATATATTCAAGCGCCTCTGTACAAACGAAAGTTCTTTCGCTGTTTCCATTGCAGGATATCATGCGTTAAATCAAGTGGACATGGGCAAGGTTCCACCTACCACATGAGGCAGAGCCGATGCTTTGTCAAGGACGATGGATGATTCATGATGCTTTGCCCTGTCGAGAAAACAAACATTGTTAGGCATTGCGAAGACTGCACGACGATGGGATTCCACCATGGCAGCTCCACGTGCTGTTGTTCAACTCGAACACGAGAAAAGTGGGAACACAGAACTCGATCCATGATGACCCATAGTGCAAGGCTTTTGAGCAATGATGTTGACCCAGCTCCAATTGCTGAGCAGACACTCATCAGGGGATTGTCCCGGAACACTGGAATTCGGACATCTGGTATCCGATTTCATTATGAGCGCCAGATCCAATCTATACAGAACATAACGTCTGAGGTTCTGTTGGCACAAGACCGCTCAGCTGCGGCACAGAGCGCCATGGGACCAGCAGGGCAGCAATGTAACTGGAATCAAGGTCCCTGCTAGTGTCTCAAGGAGTCTCAAGTGGCTGTGCCGTGGATGAAACGACGCAATCTAGAAGAAATCTGCTGAGATTTCAAGAAGCTGCCTGAGACTGGAAAAGTCCTGAGAACGGAAGCGAAGATGTCACTTAACGGACAGAAATACCGATTGGAAGCAGAAGCAGAAGCAGAAGCAGGAGGAGAGTCATTTCGAGTGCCTCCGGAGGTCGAGGATCTCGTTATGCATTCAGAAAGGGAAGCAGACTCACCGACCAGCAGAACTTTTGTGGACAGTGCCATGCGTAAATCATAATGAAATCGATCGGGATTAATGAACAACCTAGCTCCAGCATTACTCCTCTGGGGTCTGGGGTCTGTGCTGCCGCGTAACGAGTGAATGCTCGAGTTGAGCAACTGCTATCGTACTGTTTTTCGAAGTCCACACGAGTCAACTGCTGTTGTTGGACAGACAGAGTATGATGATCTACTTTCTCTAACACGTTCGCTTGACAGCTTTCGTTGCAGCCTGATCACAACGCGGGAAGAAAGTGCTTTCCCCGCGAGATGCTTCGGAGTGAGGATGAAACATCGGATGGGGTTGCAAAGCATGTCGATACAGCTCCACCCGCAATCATGCCATGCCCTCTTTACTCGAGAAAGGCAGTTGTATCTCGCTTTTTGGAAAGGGGTAGAGGATGGAATTGGATCTTCTCATGGCATGGCAGAGAAGGACAAACAACCTTTTTCCCAGCTCGCATTTCCTTTCGATCGTCGCTCAAAATCCAAGATCCAGATACCCACGCCAAGAGTGGAAGATCCGAGTCGCAGCTCAGCGAACCGGATCCGACCACAGAGTCGTACGGTATGATACGAGGGAAAGGATGAAGATTGGGTTCTATTGGAAACCAACCATCGACCAGAATAGCCACAGCTACGAAGACCGAGCACCTGCTTCTCGACATCTCCACACACACCTTGACTCTGCTCCCCTCTACTCTAGATGGCTGGCTGGCCTCGCTCGCCCAACTTTCTGCATTCGCCAATTGTCTTGCATCGGCAAAACGTAATCATGAATTCTTAGTTGGCATATTTATCGTCCTCCCTGTGGAAATTTGTCTCATCGTCCCGGCTTTTTGGATGTCAGGACTCATTAAGCGGTAGATATGGCCTAACCTGACACATTAATGCCGTGGTATGATTCGAAGATAGCCAAGGGACGGTCGTAATAGAGGAGAGATCGATCTCTGTCTCTATCTCTGTCAACATTTCCAGCATCCATCCAGGCCTTTGACTTTCACTCTCTGTGGAAGTCAGTCTATCTCTCTATATATACATCCCAAGTGGACAAGGCGAGGCTAGGCAAGCCAGAGGGGCGATGCAGAACACACGTCTGAGGAAAATCTGTCCAACACTTCTCACAGCGGGGAGGAGAAGGAAGATCAGGACTGCTCTGGAGTGAATTAAATTTAGCCCCGACAAGCAGTAACCAAGAAGTAATTTATGAGCAGCCACTGAAGCGTCAATGAAGTTGACAACCACGAGCTTTGGAGTGTACTTTGACCAGGCAGTGACTGCTGGGCTGTACTTATCCTCCTGCTCCTGCTCAAAACATGGAAGCGGACGATTTTCAGGTCGCTCCAGATCCAACTCCACAGCTTAACCATTGGAAGGGAGAGCTTGATGTGCTGGAATGCTCGATGGTCTCCCACGAATGTGTTCGCATGTTTCCATCCTGCTGCGGCTCGCTCAGTAGACTCTATGGTTGCTCGCCAACATTTGGTTGGAGCAGACGTAATGATGCCGTTTTCTGTTAAAAGCTGTGAGCAAGTGAGACTTTCCCCTCTCTCGCTTCCAGCTACCGAATTATGAGGAAGGCGATGTGGATCACTTTGGCCCTGACTCGCAATCTTCCTACCTGTCCACTTTTTGCTCCTGTAAATACAATCTCATTAGCCGTCCCTGCTTTGGTCTAATCTGATGTGATCTGCGCCCCATGGTCCGAGTGTGTGGAGAGTCGCCTACATCGAAAGAGCGAGCACTCATGAGAAATGTTTGGACATGGCTGCTCGTTGTTACACACGGACATGGGAGTGTGAAGGTCGGGAGGTTTACGAACTACAACAGACGGACAGACATTCCCAGAACCTTCTTCCCTTGAGAAGTTGGATCGTCCTCTCGGCTTCGGCTGTCTGTGCTGGTTTCGAGGAGATTGAGATACAAAGGGCTCGCCATCATTTTGGCTCAGCTGCGGCCCGTGGAATATGAATTGACACAGCGCGACACCTGCGAGGCTCATCCATCAATCTGACTGACTGGCCCACCAACGAGCAACCTCGGCACACATCACATCCTCCTGCGACCGAGCTCGTTTCCACTAGTCAAACCAATTCGAGCCTCCTTTCTCACTCACTCAACGATGACGCAAGGTCTCTCTCAGTAACCTGCTTTAGTCTGAGTCTGCTCCACGAAACGAATCTGTATCTTGTTTCTCACCTCCCTTGCCTCGAGAATAAAGCGCTGCCACCAACATAAAGAAGGCGGAGGTCTTCATTCCAGGACTAAAAAATGTCCTCGCGTTCCTCTTGTTGCAGGCAGACAAAGGCACATGACAAAGGCCTTCAGAAAGCATGGCACCGGGGTCCACCGTATCTCGTGTGTATGTACTTTCAGTGCTCCCGTTCAGGACAACATATCGATCGACGTGAGGAACAAGAGCTTTCCACGCTTTTGGAGCAATCTTCGGTTTGCTGGTTTGGCTCATGATCCTTCGATATCAATCACCAGCTTCAATGTTCGAGGGGGGAGGAAACGTAATCCGATTACAAACGACCTCGCTGCATTCCATGGAAGGTAAAGAGGGCAGTGGAAGAAGAAGAGACAACATGTAGGAATAGCCAGAGAGGGCAAGAATGTGACGATACCCAAAAGACGATCTTTCGTAGAATTTCGTGGCCATTAATCTATTAGAAGGAAATTTATACAACATCTAGAGTGAAGCATCGAAGCAAAACTTGTGCTCATGTGCTCACAACACATGTCTCCAGGCAAACTCAAGTGCTACAACAACAACAACCCTACGTCGTCTCGCCGAAGGACGGTCTTATCTAACCAGTTCTCACACCTTCGGTAACCTGATTGCCTCCAGAGCGAATTCCTCTGGATCCTATCTGCTAGAGCCGGTCAGCAACATGTCGTTGATCAGAGAATCGGCCTCATGTAGTGTAGTGGGGGTGGATATCATACATCTATGGTGGTGGTGCTCGCGTGGGCTTGGTCCTAATGGGCTGAGCTGACCGGAGTTACTGGCACTGCCAGCCCACGAATCTGCCACCACTCTTGCTGGCCTTTACAAGTCCCTCGGGCAGAAGAGTGTTTTCTGCTACCTCGTTGATCCTGATGTTGTTCAGAGTGATGGATGCATCGGCGAGCTTTTCTCACACACTCGAGGCAGGCACTAGACGAGAGTTGACATGGAGGTTGAGCGAGCGAGCGAACGACCAATTCAAGAGTCTGAAACCGGCTCCGAGGAATCTTGATCCTTCTGGTGATGGTGGGTCTTCGCCTTCAGGTTGCCTTGAATGCGAAGGACGGCCGGGACCTTTCTCATGGAGATGTTGTACACACAATGCACCAAACTTCGGATGTTCGAGTCCGAAGATCGAGAGCAGCAGTATTTGATCGAGAGAGAGCTCGGAACTGATCAGCCACTTCTTCCGAGTTAGCTGTGGCCATGTCCGCTGCTTCCACTGTCGATCGAGGAGGATTTCAGTGTGACGATTTGATGATGGAAATTGGGTGTGCAGACAACTTTGGAAGTCGCCCGTTGCTTCACCAGTGGAACCAACGATTGCACCACATCCGTCATCAGAGGTCGGTAATCCGCTTCGGGCTGCACGCACATGGCTGCAATTGCTGCCACCTATCACCACACAACCAAAAATCAGATCAGGAATCGATCATGCACATCAGTAAGCTACAGGCAGGCCAGGCGGTCATCATCTTCCTGCAATTATGAAGCCATGATATGGGCGAGAGAACTCGAGAATGCTTCGGCAGCTGACCTGGATGAGTTCCTTGACGGCAAATTGGCCTTGAAGCACTGGGTCCACCATCTCAATCAGCTTCTCTCGATCCGTGAGACGGGGCAGAGCCTGCGCACCAATTCCTCGGCCGGTTAAAAAAGAAACAGTCAACCAAGAAGTTCATGACAACCGAGAGCTTCAAAGATGAAGCCAGTGCCGAAGCAAACATAAACATGTCGTACTTACCCAGGACACCAGGACTCCTTGTCCAGGAGGCCTCTTCATGTCCACCGGTACACGACCAGTGAGAAGCTCTAACAAGACCACGCCATAGCTGTACACATCTGATTTGGTGGTCAGATGTCCCGTCAATGCATACCTGCAAGCGAACCAAAAACCAACATTTAGCACTCGTGGATTTAGTTCAGAATTCAGTGAGATTTCGCTTCTCGCGTTGAAATCAGTCCGCTTCGGTGTATGTAGTGTAGTGAAGTGGCGCAATGACTGATAACTTACTCGGGAGCGACATAGCCATGGGTTCCGAGGACGCGAGTGGACACGTATCCTCCAATCTTGTCCGAACCCAGCTTGGCCAGACCGAAGTCGGACACCTTGGCATTGAAGTTCTCGTCCAGCAAGATGTTGCTGCTTTTGAAGTCCCGATGAATAATGGGCGGGCTAACCAATTCATGCAGGTACTCGAGACCACGAGCTGCATCGAGAGCTATTCGGAGCCTCGTGCCCCAGTCCAGCAACGGAGGATTTCCGGATGAACCTGTAGAGACCGAAAGCATGAATTGCAAGCATCAGATGCTGAACTTTCCTCTAGCACGTCGGCCGTCGGTTGTAAGTAAACCAGTCTACAACACGAATCAATGTTCCCTGGAAGCTTGAGCGGGGAGAAACTGCACTCACCGTCAGAGTAGAGGTGCTCCTGGAGACTTCCATTGGGCATGTACTCGTACACGAGCAAGCGATGGTCTTGATCCGCGCAGTATCCATGCAATTCCAGCAGGAACTGAGACTGCAACCGACTGAGCATGTCCACCTGCAATTCCACCGAGAACACTTGTGATGAGAGAAAGCTCTGTGTATCGTTCTGAAGGATGCAAACATGCGAAAATCCCACAACTCCCTCGACACGGAGACTTAGAAATTGTCGGCTTGACTCTTGTCTCGGCAAAACGATGGAAGGAAACCATCTCGAATCATCTATTTCTTCTGCAGAGGTTTCCAATTAGACGGTTACTGACCTCCACTCTGAATTCATGCTCGCCCTGTTTTCCGGCCCGGTCGAGCTGCTTAATTGCTGCACATCGACCGTCGGCGAGGACAGCCCTGAACACGGACCCGAAGCCACCATGGCCGACGATATTCACCGGGCTGAAGTTGTTGGTGGCGTGCTGTAGCTGCTTGTAGGTGAACACCTGCGCTTCGGACGGTGATGTCGCGGGAGGAGGCTGCGTGTACTCTGCCAGGCTCTGTTTCAGATCTGCGTGACACACGAGTGACATGACACAGTGGAAGGTAAGTGAGAGAACGACACATTCGTCTGGCGAGGTTTGGTTGTGCCCATCACAGAAACACGCCCAGAACCTCGAAGAGACCAGTAGAATCCGCTCGGCCTGCTAACCAACCCAGTGGCTGGTGCGATGCACAGCTTCTTCCAGATTTCAATTTCCTCGCTCTTCACTCGCATCCTGACATTCCAGACCAATCCCAGGCAGGCATCTTCCAGCTGCAGAGAGTTTCTCTCTTCTCCAGAAACAACTGAAATTGAACTGAGATGCACTGAAATTCCCGACTTCACCAATGTTTGGACTCATGCTGGCGATGGCGGACTCGAATGCGCGTGGTGTGGACGTGACATACACTTATGAAATGAGAATACAGAGTCAAGGTCGTAAAGCAGGACAGGAAATGGGTTCAAAATGTGACGAGGGGAGTGAGCACGTACGGCGTTGGTAGGCGATGCCACGGACTTTTCTCCGAATGTGGCAGTAGTATAAGAAGGCGACGAGCAGGGAAACCATGGCCATAGAGGCGATGACGGAGACGATGACCACAACGATGTCGTTGATCGTTCCATTATTTTTGTTCGAGCTCTCACGGAAAGGCGGTTGCACTGCTTGCGCTGATTCAGGTGGCGCCACCAGCTGCTGCAACAAACTTCTCGACATGGTGCTCTGCTTCTGGCAACTGCGCTTCCTCGGCTGAATGAATCGACCTCCACCACCTGTTTGATGACTGCTTCTCCTCCTACCTGGCTCCTCCCTTCCTACCTCTCCCAAGCTCTGTTGCAGACTAATACACCTAACGGATGCTAGAGCTGAGGCTCACAATCACGCCCGAGCTCAATCTCAATCTAAATCAAAATCTCAATCTCGCAGACTTCGAGCGAGGGAGAAGTTCAGTCCCAAATCTGCACATCTGCTCTCAGTCACGCTGAAATTCGACCATGGATGACAAATGACGCTGTTTCCTTGAAATCCGATGGTCGGAAGATCTCACAGCGACAATGACTGCTCCACACAAGAGTCGTCCCCAGCAGCAGCTCCAGCTGCGGTGCACAACCTCCAGAGACCTGCCCGAATTAAGCCAAATGTGGGACTGCAGCAACAGTACCGGGGCTCAGAGCACCAGAAGTTGCTCTAGCAGCCTCAGGAGAGAACACGCTTTGAGCAGTACATGCTCCATTGTGTCCGACACCAGCAAGCAGGCTTAGACCATCATCGCTGCCGTAGACTCTCGCAGCACTTGCACAAACGCAATGCCCGAGGCAACCGGATGGGACAACGAGGAGCAGACAAGCAGTGACACTGCCAGAGCTAAGACCCGATACAGAGACTTGGAGAGATCTCGAGCACAGCCAATCTCTGCTGCTGCTGCTGCTGCTGCTCTTTTCTCGAGGCACTCACTCACTCAGGAGCGCAACTGACTTGCGAAGAAAGCGTGTTCGAGTGGACAACGCAGCTCGCGACAGTGCCACAATGCCGCCAGATTTCGAGCGCGGTCCGAGATCCGTGGACGGGCAATGGAGGGTCGTCGAATGGGGGATGCAGAGAGCGAGCGAGCGAGTGGGACAACGATGCTCCTGTTTCGCAATATCAGCGCACTGTACTTCCTCGTGAGAGAGAGAGAGAGTAAGTGAGTGAGTGAGTGAATGAATGGAAGGCTACGGTGGAGGGGAGTCCTGCTGCGAGTGATTGAGTGCGTCAGTCAGTTCGTCATTGGACTGCTGCACTGCAGGACTGCAAGTTAAGGCGCTCGCTAGAAGAGAGCTCGGAGCTCAGGCACCCGTCGGGGTCGAGATGAATGCACGGGCGCTTCGACCACACTACGGTGCTGCTTCCTCGTCCTCCCGGGGGCGCAACATCCGAGCGCGACGCATGACGGCATTTATGGGCCGAGCCAAGCAGCGAGAGGGCAAGCGTGCAGCAGCAAGGCTCTCGAGGGCTCTGAATCCCCACCGGAATGTGCGCCCTGTCCTGTCCTGCCTTGAGTGCTCGAGCTCGGGCGCTATGCTCGCTTGTAGTGAGTGAGTGAGTGGTTCAAGGATGATGAGCAAAGCAGATGTCGCAGCAGGACGAGGCTCCCGTCGAAATGCTGGTGTCAGGCTTCGGTGCTCACTGGCTCATGTGCTTGTTGCTCCTGGTGGGAGAATGTGCTCTCTGTCTCGTGCACCTCGAGAAGGGAGAGAGACAAAGGGATGGCACAGAACGCAGACGGCAGAAACGGACACTCAGATTGCAGCTGCCTCACTGCACCAGTTCTCTATCGCTCGCTCGCTCCGTGGCATACACTCCAGATCTGTCGAGTCGTAGACTCCTCGTTGGATCGGCTGGCCGGCAAAACGACGCTGAAAATTTGGTTCTACTCGACACTGCACTGCACTGCACTCACGTCTCACGTCTCACCTCTCACTTGGCGTCGCAGCTCGTCGTCACACTCTCCAACACCAGGCCGCCCCTCGAGCTGCCAATCATTCAATCCAACGAAGAATAAAGCGCCCTTGTCTGTCTCTCACCATCTATTTCAAACTCTCCACCAATTCCTGACACGCTGCAATATTTATATGAGCGAAAAATCGGCTCTGAACGCACGCTCGGACGGTGCGCCGAGGAGCTGATGCAATGCTGGCATTCTTCCTCGCTCGATCCCGCACCACCCCAAGCCCATATACTCCAGAATTGAGCTCAGGACTCGAGGAGCCCCCGTCGTCCCCTCTCCTCCCCTCCTCTCCTCGCCTTCCCTCTTCCGTCCTCCTGCTGCTCCGCACTCACTCCTCCCTCAGCTGGAATGCCTCTCCCCCGGCCGAGCCCCCGATCAAATCTCCGACCCGCCTGCCCCGTCTCAGAAGCGCAGCAGCCGTGGCAGAAAAGCGAGCGTCTCCCGTCGGGAGTCTCGGGGCGGGAGTCGGTGGGGGGGCTGGGGTTGGGGGCTGGGGTTGGGGTTGGGGGTAGTGCTAGGGACGGGGGCTGGGGTTGGGGATGAGGGGGGGATGTCACACGTCAGCGGAGCCCCGTCAGACTCTCCGACCCTGGAGGCTCGCCCCCCGGACCGGCAGGGCTAGCGCTTCCGACAGCCGAGCACGCGAGCGGGCGGGAGAAGAACGCCTCCGTGCTCTCGCACCCGTTGACGCGATCGCGGGGGCAGCAACGCTGCCAGCACGACGAGCCCCATTACCGTTTGGGGATGGCCGACGCTCCCGGATTCTACCGCAGTAAAGAATAGAGCACCAATCCGGACGTGCTCCCCCTGCCCGGCCGGGACCACCGCCGGTCGCGGGTCCCGAGCGGGAGACACGACCGCCCGGAATGTGCTGAGCTGGGTCGGAACGAGGCCCCGACGACCGGGCCCAGCCGGTCCCTCTGCCCCTCAGTCAGCCCCCGGACACCCCCCCGTTCCCCTGTGCTTCCGGATATATGTGCAGTTGGTGCTGCAACGCCTGGTGGCCCCCCCGCCCAGTGGATTCGAAGTCGGGTCTCCCCGGGTGTGAATGGACGCTCGGGGATAAGGTACGTCCCCGGTGCCGTTTGTCTCGCCGGGCAACGAGGCTTCTGGTGACTGGGCCTAATTATGACCTCTTAACTCGAAGCCCCTCGATCCCCTCCCTCCTCCTGGCTTCGTTTCGCTCGGCTTGGCTTCGATGCTCTTCGATTCTCACCCCGGGATTACCATCCGAGCCCTTTGCCGTTCGACCGGCGCATTCAATTCGATCCACTTCCCTTCCCTTTTCTTCGCTATGCTGGGCTGTACCCCCATTGAGTGTCGAGAGTTGAATCAATGTCGAGCGTCCAGATGTTTCCTGCTTCACTGGATTTGGCATTTGGCCATTTTTGTTCGCAGGTCTATTCTGAGTTCTGAGGAGGCGCGATTGATTTCAGACAAGCTCGACCAACCACCGGCCCCCCCATTACGAGCTGGATCGTTCGGTTCACCAAAGACAGAGCTTCGCCGTTGCAAAGCTCCCGTTGCAAAGCTGCTGCTGCTGATGTTGTTGTTGTTGTTACTGCCCACTGCGCTCTGGCCCTCGGCCCTCGAGAGAGTCAGAGCGGCGGTAAAATCTGGGGCCTTTTCACGCCGCAATTAACATTAACTTGCTCTCTGTCCCGAAGCCCGGATTGGGATTCGCCGTTTGACGAGCCGCAGGGCTCGACATTCGGTTGCGACCGGGAGCTCCTCCTCCTGACAGGAATTGGGCCCCGGAGGATCTTCATGTGAAGGCCAGGCTCGAAGGTGCGTCACGCTCATGAATATCTGACCAGTCGCCACCCGATATGGCACATTGTCGTGTCAAGCTGTCACCTCCAGCCTCGCCTCGACTTTTTGGTACCCTCGTCGGGCTGCAGAGCGAGCGAGGCGAGGTCTAGCGCCTTTTGGCTGGCCACGGGCCAAGACTCATGTTCGAGCCCTTCAATCCTACCAACTGATGCGCCTGAGTGAGGAACCACCCGCACCCACTAAAGCGCCATGAGCCACGAACCCAGCTCCAATTTCCGGCATAAAGTATCCCCATATTGTATAAAGAATCCCAAAGCGAGAAGTCTGTGACCGAAAGCTCCGTCCCAACCCCTCGTCAGCTCTACTAACTAGAGAGAGAGTGAGAGCTCGAGATAAGGAGCAGAATCTGTTTTCACCTCGTTCCAGAGTCCAGAGTCCATAGCCCAGAGCCCAGAGCAGGGCAGGACAGGGCAGGGCAGAGGAGTCGTAATATTGCGAAAATCTGCCTGCGCCAAGCACATGGGCATGTCACAGGCATGATCTGTTACTATGTTGGCGACGGCTCTAAATCACACGAGGTCTGGTGAGGGAGGGAGGGAGGGAGGGAGGGAGAAGGACGGGCGAGGCAGCAAGAGGGCGAGAGACGGGGAGAGGAAGCGTGGGTGACATGACTCGCGAGTAAGAGTCATGTGACTGTCTTTTCTCTTGATCTGATATGAACGTACCTGCCCACTGCAGAATCAACAGCAGCAGCAGTAGCAGATTGCTGGTTATCCCGAGCATCTGCTTCTTTCTTAAGATGGCTCACTCACTCGCTCGCCCAGGTAACCTTATGGTCAGTCATTCGTTCTGACCAGGGCCCAACGCAAACCACTTGTGCCCACCGTCGTCTACGAGACGAGCGCATAGAGTTGCTAGACTTATCGATCCATCCATCCCGTCACGAGTTCAGCTCGGGTCGGTTCGGCCCCAGCTGGTGGAGATTATGAGTGACTCTACCTGCTGTGGGGGATTGTCTCCTACTGCTAGGCAACAACGTGATGAAACCATACCTTTCGTTCATGTAGGGTACACTATGGCTTGCTGCCTCGCCAGTTGTATCTTTCACCCCAAAAACATATTTTTTCTTTTTCCGCTCCATGGCCTTTTGAGCTTCGGACTCGTCGTTCGACTTGGGTGGATATGGGGGGAAACGAGAGCACATGCTTGTTTGTGCCTTCTTCACTCGTGCATGCGAGGAAGTTGATTCGCTAGCGTTGCTCTTCGTCAAACAATGATAATCGGCTTAATGGAGCAAAATCCTCTTCTAAGAGTAGAGAGTTCCATACGAATAAGTCATCGACAAGTGTGCAGGCGAGGGGGGAGCAAGCAATTCAGAGCGCTCGAGGAGAGCAAATCAGCGGGGCCACACGTACGAGGATCGAGTCCAAATGGAAAAGTACATCCGTGTTTGTTTTGGGAGCAGGGCCGAGCAAAATTGTAGTAGACTGGAGGAGGAGCTGGGTGTACATGTCAACTTTCGTCCACCGTATGCACTTCTTCTCCAGATAGATGTCTTTCTCGTCGCCGGTGGACGTTTGCACCCGTCTCGAAACGACTTCCCAGGAAGATATGCGACGCAGCTGTCTGTGGTTCCAAAAAGTCCAAAATAATTTGGCTCGAGCCTTAACGTCGCGAGGAAGAAATGCATGAGATTACAACGATCCTCGACATTTTAATGACGAAGTTAAGAAAGGCGCCACTCTCGCAGTTTTCATGATGGAGATGTGGACAAACGTTCACCCTGAACCCACCCCAAATCCAATCATGTCCTCGCCTTTTCGTAATGTCTAGCCAACTTCAAAACCGATGCATGATACATCCAGAGATTCATATCTATTCAGAAAGTGAATGGTGCACTGTACCTTACATCCTTATTTGACGCAACATCGAGAAGAGCATCAATTTGAGGGCGCACCTTCTCTGCTTCCTAAAACAGTCGAAAGGCAAAGAATGTTGGCAGCAGACCAACCAGTTCGGCCATTTTTTTCTCCGGCTGTGGAGTCCACGGGCTTCTTTATGGTCCTCGTATTTCGGACTCAGACGGCTCATCTTTATTAAACGTACAGGAGAGTCAAATCTCGAATTCAAAGGCCAAAGGTTCAAGTAGAATGAACATCATCATGACCTCCCTATCGGTCTGAAATCAAAAGTTCGGTGCAATGCGCATTCAAGTGGCCCGATTCATGCACCTTCCAAGTTTAGAATAGCCTCATAAACTCGAGGCTTGCATTGCAGTTCAAGTGTTCCGAGTGTTGGATGACATATCCACATCCAGTGATTGCATCCATCGCCCACACATCGACCAAAGGGTCGAAGGAGCACGAAAAAGGTACAAATTTATTATATAATTCCAAGACTGAATCATTGGCCATCACCTCGGGGCATGACTGGCATGGCTGCCGTCTACAGTTGTGGCCTTTGGAGTCAAATCAAACTTGAACCTCCGGTTTTAGCCTAACCCAATTTATATTGTGATCGTTGGGAGAATGGGAGAATGGGAGGCGAGACAATGATGTCTCTCACTACCTTCTCATTATGGCTTAGAGCATGAAACGATCAGATAACAAATTCTTGCATCCATGTGCACAGGAGATTTAAACAGCTCCCCGCTTCGTGCTAGATCGTGCTCCCCTTGCTGTTAGACAAGATTGTTGCTCGTGCCGGGTGCTGGTTGTTTCGTCGCAGCTTCGCTGTCGATCGATCGATCGGCTGCTCGCTCCCTCCTCTAGAGGAAAACATGATGGACACCAAGTCCCTCACACAAGGGGTGGGCAGGAATTTTGTCGAGCCGCGAAAAGAAGTGCAGTGACGATGATGATGATGGTCGTCGTACTTGTTCAACTTCCACAAGTTGCGTTGCACTGCTGCATTACCCCATTGTCGAAGGGCAGTCACGCTTTTCATCTGTCTCGTCCAAATACTCCAAATACTTCGCTCCGTACCTCGCTCGTATCACACCTCCGATCGAATGTTAATATATTCACCTCTTCCATATCTCCATATATTCGCTCTACGTCATATAGGGCCCGAGAGCCATCTAGTCAGGCAGTAAAGTCTTCAGCACTAGATTTTTCTCGACATGATCATTTCTCTAGTTCTCAAGAAGGGGCCTGGCCTAGCCCCTCGAGACCCGTTTGGTCTTAAAGGGTTCTCCCCTTCCCATCCTTTTTGCTTTAATATTATTCCACCCCCTCCCCCCCTTTGTTTTTAGTTTATGTATACCCGCACGACGAAGCTGCACAGGACTACGTATTCAGGCTCGGATACGTAGTCCATGTTCTACGAGGATTAAGAGTTTGAACGCTTTGGGATTAGATTTCAGTTCTTTGGAGTTATGAAAAGAACCCGTATGGTAGAATCGTTATGAGCCGTATCTTGACTTCGATCCCGTTTTTGGTTAGAGGCAATGATTCTATCAAAGAATTTCTATGTCGAGAGCGTGCACCTTCAGAGTTTCAATGATTTTATGCAAGATTCAGTTACATGCTGGAATATGCAATGGTCAGACGAAAGTTCAGACCACACTCGGCTCAAAATCATCTAACAAACCGCCTCGCTAATCGTCGTTAAGAGTGTGAGCCAACGGAGCTCCTAAGAATCGACTGAAGCAAATTAAACTCTTTGGGAATGCCCATCATGACTTGTTTCTAGCTCTCATCCAGATCAGACCCACAACTTTGCCACACATGGCCGTACATTTTATCCGAGCTTCTGGAACAATCTTCGAGGCCCCCAATGAGAATGTGAGAGATTCAGATGAATTCTGCGATGAAATGTGTGTGATTCAGAGAAAGTTCGCCTTGCACATGTGATCGACAACTTGGAAGGCGAACTATTCTTCGCATCGCCAACTGCTCTGCCCTTTATGTCATCTCCACACCGCTAGTAGGGGATTGATAGATGTGAGTAGTGCTTGGGTATGATCCACTCCACCGAGCATCTCACAGCACGCATTGTCGGGACCCAAATTGGCGTCCTAAGAACATGCTCTCATCTTCGCATTATTTGTAGGAGTGAATCACTTTACATCCAGACAAGTCGAACTTGAGAGTTTTGTGAGCATCTTCTTCGAGTACGGAATGGGCCCAGCTAAATTACTTGCAGCATTACCACACACTAATTACTCCCAAAGTGTCTGGTCCAAACACACAATCTCTCTCTCTCTCTCTCTCTCTCTCTCTCTCTCTCTTGTCCTTAGTAACGAGAATCTCGTCCTCTGCATTTTCATGCGGGTTTCTCTGCTCTAGACTATGCTGCTTGCATGATCCAATGCTTGTTACCATGACATCAGGGACCCGCTCAAACTCCTCAACTGCTGTTATTACATCGATCGGTTCGAATACTCATAGTGCTGACTCGGTGCCCCCCTGGACCTTATAATGCTGCAATCACAGAGTACGTTCGTAGCGTAAAATGCAAATCAACGGACCCACAAAATAATGGCTTTCGTATGGCGTATAAAGGGGAGACATCGACTTTTCGACGGTCATCGGACTTCATCCTTGCTCCGCTCTATATTCTCCCTTTATGGTTGGGTTACTCATGTACATTCACATCGAATGCTAACGGCTTTAATCCGAGGTTCGCTTTCTCAGGGGCTAGATCGGTGTCATACCATATTCGATTCGACAAATAATGTCGAGCTATAATTCCAATGATCTACCCACAGTGAAGTTACTTTGCCCAAGCTCAGCGCGGGCTGTGAGCGGAGTCATGACGTGCTCAAGCTCCATCAATCTTCTATTTCGTACCGAGGGGATATCTCAAGGATGATACTCTTCCACTGTTCCTTCCTTCCTTGCTTCCTTCCAAGCCTGCGAACGCTGACCTCTGTCGAAAAACCGTGAAATGCTGTGGATTGAGTTGGAAAGTCTATTGGTGTCGACGTTCCATGCTTCAATTATTCGTGAACAGGTTGGCAATCACTGTAGTCGATCTAATGAATGATGCTGACCACAGCGAAAGCGGTTCACTTCCCTTTGAATCCCTCCACGAGTAACGAGTTCCCCTTCAGTAATTTGTTACTGTCCTCAGAAAGGATCAGCAACAGCCCCATCCTATCCTGGAGTCAACGAATCTCAAGTCCAGGAAAAGGTAAAACCCAGAGCTGAGGTTTCCAGAGGCGCAGACCCGCAGAGGTGGGAACCTTGTGAGTGAGGTAAAAATTTTGATCCCAGTGGAAGCAGTGTCCGGAGGACTGCTGAAATGTGTGCAGGCATTAAGGGCTAGAAGAAGCCTGTACTAAAGCTCTGGCGATGGCGATAAGGAAGAATCTGATCAGCGGTAACCGAACCCTGATCACCCGAAGAGCGCGATGGCCACTTTAGAAACCTTCGGCTCTGGTCCTCCGGGAGGAAGAACTCCTCCGCCCAAGTTGACTCGTGTCATGCGCTCCACTGTTTTTAGCCCACGAGATGAGGAGGAGGAGGAGGAGGCTGTTTGGTTTTCGTTGTCTCGCAGCTCGTCAGCTTCTCGGAGCCGTCTCCTCCGGTTATGGAGATGGAGATGGAGAAGGAGGAGGAGCAATAAATTCTGACCATCAGCCTTCACCGGATCCATGAGCTTGATGGTAATCGACGAGTTAACGGATAATGCAGTACCGTAGGGAACTCTGATTCTTTTCGTTGTCGCTTGCTCCCCCCGCCATAACATCAATCCAGCTATGGCTGTACAGTACTGTCTGTGAAAACTGTGGCATGCGACCGAATCTTGTAGTTTATGCTCAGGCATGCTCTCTCCCCCTCCCTCCCCCTCAGACTCACGCGCTCGCTACATTCCACGGACAGAATATTTACCAAACGGATTCACAGCCGAAGGCTCAGGCTCTCGGCGACTCGTTCTATACTGCTGCTGTGATGTGATTAAGCCCATCTCCTCTGCCCGTGCCAGCGATGGAAGTGGCGGCTCGGAGGTCTGGGCAGAGACCTCTCTCTCTCTCTCATACAGGACTATCACGAATTAATTCGTTAGCTCGAGACTAATGGCAGTCCAAGGTGAAGATGTTTATGAGATGGGGGCCCCATCGAATCCGTCGTAGCGCGGACGGGGCGGATTTTGTCGTGCTTTCATCACGACATGGTGCACTGCTCTTGACCCAGTAAGCTGTCCAGGTCAAAGGTCCTCAGAGTCCAGTCCAGCCCTACCCTGCTCTGCTCTGCTCTGCCATGCCTGGAGTAGGAGCATTCGAGTCCCTAAGGGGGCATGCTCTCCTGTCGATCTATCGAGTGTCGTACTCTCTGTTCAAGGCACTGGATTGGAGCTGGCTGAGTGATTGACTGAGATTGAGACTGAGATTGAGATTGAGCTCGAGCTTCATGTTTTTCCTCGGGCTGCTGGAAGATCTGGGCGACTTTTCTTTAGCCAGGTAGAGGCAAAGGTGGGTCGGTGATTGGACGAGGTTCAGGTTATGGATCCTAGCTAGATAGCATGAACTCAAGCGTGCGTGACTCTGGGCCGTGCATCGGAATCGGAGCGAGTGAGAGAGCTCTACAGTTATAGAAGGACACGAATGACATGGAGCGAATGGGCTGCGGGCGTCGGCGGATCAGAGCACTCTGGAAGAAGCTCTTTCCAGCGGCGACGTCCGAAGTGGAGACTGGGGTCTTCAGAAACGCAGGCCCTGCTTTTCCTGGATGTAATCTAGAGCTCTCGGCCTCGGCGGGCGTCAGGAGGTTGGTTGGTTGCCCGGGTTGTTGTGTATATCTCGATGGCCGGACGAATCATGTGAGAAACGCAACAGTGGCGAATCGCACCCAGATCTCCGGACCTCTCTCTCTCTCTCTCTCTCTCTCTCTCTCTCTCTCTCTCTCTCTCTCTCTCTCTCTCTCTCTCTCTCTCTCTCTCAAAATCGTTCCTTCTTCGTCTGTCTCTGAGCGCACATGAACAGTCTTAGTCGGAAGGTTGGAAAGTTCTTCCTGGCAACTGGAAACCTCGTACACCAGCAGCAGCTGCTGCTGCTGCTACAGAGTTTCTTCCCATCATCATGATAATCTGGATCACTCGGCCAGCACCTCATTACCCGGAAGCTGTCCTCTTCTCTCTCCTCTCGCAGTCTCATCTTTTGCCATCCCGCTCGGCGCAACGAAAGTTTCCTGGCCCTCTCCTTTGGGCCTCGTTGCCTTCTTTCTGTCTTCCTCGTCGTCCTGCGCAGCCGAGTCCAGTCCAGAAGGGAAGCGGCGCTGGGGAAATGGAAAGACAGCGGAAGCAGAAGGGGAGGGATCTGTGGCATTTTGCTGCGACCGTCGGAGGCGCTTGCTGTGAGCAATGCGAGCGAGGGAGGGAGGAAGGACTTTCTCGGCTGCCTGCTGCTGCGCTGCGAAGCTCGCGGTCGTCAGAGCTATGAGCCCGTCAGACGACTAGTAGTATACTACCAGCACCAACGCAGATGGTGGTGCTGCTGCTGCACGCAATCTCTGCGTTCGGATCAGAAACAGTGTTCTGCTCGACTGCGACGCCAGACGTGGCTACGATCGGGAAAGCGCGACTCGTTCATCCATTCATTCACTCGCTCAGTCCACCGCTTGCTGCTGCATCCGCTCAACGTTCCCCTCGGCCCGGGGCTCGTTCACTGCCACCATTCATTCATTCATTCACTCACGCACTCATTCATTTGCTCACTGCATTCGAATTTCAAACGCCTCATCATCGTCATCGCCTTGGGTCATCATCGCTTCCGTCGACCCCACCCCCAGCCCCAGCCCCAGCCCCACCCCGAGCGAGCCCCAGCCCATAAACGCGAGCCACTTCACGACCGCGGCCGAAGCACGAAGTGCCTCTCCCTTCCCTTCCCTTCCTGCCTTTCTGAGCCCGCCTTCTCGCCCACGTTCCGCTGCCGTTTCAGATCCACAGGCCCACCCCCCTCCCCCCTCCCCCCTCCCCCACCCGGGGACGGGCTTACTCCCCCGGCCTCCGTGTTCCGAACCGCTCCGCATGTGCTCCGCGGCAGTCGACCGGTACCGGCCGCAGGCAGGCACAATGACGGGCCGTGCATGCACAGCCCCAGCCCCTTCATGGTCGCCAGCCTCTCCTTAGGCTAGAGCTTCCTCCCTCCCCTCCCTTGCGAAGGAGGACGCGAATCAACCCCAACCCCACCCAGTGCCGCAGTGGTACGGAGCTCCGACCCGCCGCGTGGCTAAAGTAGCCATCCCGCCAGTTTCCACGGCACCGGCTTTTGTCATGTCTTTTGCGTTTCGCCTTGCGGCAATAAAGAGCCAAGCGTCCAGACACGAAGGGGGCAAGACACACAACCACCTCGGGGCTAAAAGCGTCCCGGCATTAGAGCTCGCTTCAAACCCTCGGCGCATTCCGCTCCTTTATCCGCAGCGGCTCGGCTTTCCATTCATGCCCGGGCCTCGGTCCAGACATAGAAAGAGAAGCACCTCGACTCGCCATTGGCCGCATTTCGAATCCCGAAGCCACAATACGGTCGTCGTCGCGCCATTAAACGCGATGCCGGACGGCCGGTTTAATGGGCTCCCTTCGCAGTGCGTAGGGAGAATATGCATTAAGGTCCTGCCCTCGTTGGAGGGCCGGAGGGGACGACCGAAGACGTCCATTAATGCGAAGCGCTAGCCCCTGCCTTCCGAAGTTGAAGGACGTAGCACGGCCCAGGACGGACCGCTTGACCGCTTCGTCGTACCGCGACCGAGTGCCTGTCCCGCAGTCCCTCGGCCCTCGGCCCTCGCACTCTCGGGGCTCGGAACTCCTCGCCGGTTGGATACCGGTGTCGTTTGTCGTCGCACCCTCGCGGCGTGGTCGCCGCGCATGCCGACCGGTCGTCGACACCGTCGGGCCCAGTGCGCAACGTGGTTTTCCTGCGTTCCGGTCTGTGTCCGTCGTCAGCGCGTGGTCAGCCATGAGTGATGACCGCAGATTCCCTTTTTGGATTGTGCAGAAATAACTCGCAAAATCTTTGTTTTCATTTTATTTCTTTCTCCCGCGAGCTCCTGCGAATGCTTGGGAGTCGTTGCTGATGCAGATCCATGACATAACACTTGTGTCCGCAACTCCTCTAATGCATCCGGACGTGCAGATGCCCTGTGCCTTAATTATGAACCATTGTCATGTGAAAATGTTAACAAAAGCCAAAAATTCTTATCTGGTATTTCATTCAGAATACCTTGTTATTATATGTGGCTGACAAAGCCAAATATTTCGGGTTGTGTTTCTTCATCCCAAACGCTAAATGCATTCTAAGTGTATGATATAAAGCGCGATGATTGGACGTTGTACCAGTTGTGCAGAACATTGTCACGTAGTCTGGGATTTAAACAATATAATGAGAATGTCACGATAAACATTTACTCAGAATTAAATCCTTATAAGATTTTACGAAAAAAATTAAGCTTTTCTTGCAATATGGTGGCATCGTTTCCTTACCTACGAAGTACAATCCTCGGATATTCGTCATGCATTTCATTCTACAAATCGATCATCAATTTTTCTTATAGTTACTAACTTTCTCCCAATTAAACCATTGCAATAGTTGTAGAAACAATGAAACTTGGTTTCTAAACACATTGAATTTTACTTCATTATTACTTTTCTTCTGAAATCACTTGAAAGATAACTCTAAATCAATTTTATTATGTACCTTCATTATATGTCTAAACTCTCATAGCTATACTTGTTGTAATCCGATAATAAGCTGCAGCTGAGACTTCAGATCTGGACCTCAAAACAAAACTCTAAAACAATTACTTTTGTGAAGAAATTGCCTTCATGTTCTTATATAGCTGAGAAACACACATTTTGGCATACTAGGGTAAATCACAGCGAATAAGAATACTCATTTAAATCTCTTCTCCCTATCATTTTTCTCTGTAAAATTATGCAAAGCTTATTTAAAATTTTAGAAAAAACTCATTAGATTCGGTTATTCTGTGAAATGTACTGATTAAAAGAATTGAACTAAAAGATTATGATTACACTATTTTAATTATCTATTATAAGTAAATTTCACATAAAAAATATATCATACCAAAATTGTTGACAAATTTCCTATCACTTTCATGTAAAAATATTATCAAATATTGAAACTGATTTGACATAAAAAATTCAATTTAGTTTCTTTTCCTTTTTTAAATCCAAAAAGATAACTGGAATTTCGACTGATTTTTTATTGTTTGACAAGAAAGAATTTGATCATTTCACTAAAAATATATCATATTATGTCTTTGATGAGAATAATAGCTCAACATAATTAATTTAAAAAGCGTGTAAGGACATTTCAAAAATGTTACATTTTTATAGAAAAAAGTATACAAATTTGACAATACAGTTGACAAAACATAACAGAAAATTGAAGTAAAAAACTTATTCAATTTTAAGGGATGGAATCTAATCTAAAACAAAATGCTTACCATTTGATTTACTTGTGATACTTGAATGAAAGAATGTGAAAAATGGATTCGATTTTATGATTAATTTTCATATTTAAACATCAAGTTATATATTTCTTTTATTATTATGATATATAAGTCAAAATTTATTTATGTTAAAAAAGTAAAATTCAATTTAAGTTTTTAAGATTGTAAACTTATGTCATTGTAGAAATGTTGATCAATTAATGATTCATTACATTTTATTGAAAATAAAATTGATTCAGAAATTAAAAACTTAAACTTTATGAACAAAATTATGAGTTCAGATTTTTATTTATGATTATGATTATTTTTAAATAAAAAATAATAAATTTAATTTTTGCTTTCAAAAGATGATAGAAAATTGCATAATTATTGAAAAACATGATTTTATTAAAAAAATGAAAAACATCAAAATGGAAAATAGAATTTTTTTATGAAAATAGAAACTGCCGCTAGTTATCACTCACTTAACACTAATTAGCTCTCACTCTACTATACAATGTTCACTCATTGATGGCGCCGGGTTATAGTTTCCGTGGGGTGAATAATAAACTTTGCGGGTTTTACTTCTTTATGCCCTTGGCTCATAATGCCTCTCTGGCAAGAGCCACGTCAAACCCATGCATGCCACATCCACATTCAAAATCCGATGTGAATTTTGTCTCCTAGGGTGGATGGAGTTTGTCCCTCTTGGACTCTCTGGTCTTATCGTCGTCAATGGCATGAGTAAGATGTCATTACAACTAAGACTTGTAGGAAGTCAAACTTTTTGAAGACCTTTTATGCACTCCATGTAGTACGTAAAAACCTACTTCTAAAAAATATATTAGAAGTGTGTTAAGATTGTTAGCGGTACAATATTTCCATGTGCTATAATAACACCATCTCAAGGCTGGATAATCTACAATCCTATTGTTGAGTATCAATGAAATTTTGAAATTTTGATGAAATAAAAAGATCCCATTATTTGCTATGATTGTTGAAGGTAAAAAATTAGCAAAAGTATCATGTACTTTTGTTGTTTATGTTCAAACCTAGAACTCTCATGAAAATTGTAATCCAAGTAAACATTGAGTTTGGAATCATTAAGTGTCATGATCCGCTCACTTGGATGATACTTATGGTTTGCAAGCAAGAATATATTGCTTAAATTGTGAGAGACAATTTTGACAATGTTATTATATCTCAAAAATCGCATAATGTTGGCAATTATGTCCTTAAGTGATGGCTCTTATTGGGGCTATATGCAAGGCATGATAACCAAACTCAACTGAATCATAGCCACGTCGAAGGAGGAGGATTTATTGAAATTGGTCTCTGGTGGGAAGGGTGGCCACACCTCTCCAGTCTATGGCTTGCCGTTGTAAAGTTTGAACTTTAGGACGCAAACTATTTTCAGTTGGGTTTGATGTGGCAAGAGCTACGGAGTCATCATGGAAGAAGAGCAGAAATAAGTAAAATTGGCAAAGTTTTTTTACTCACCCAACGGAACCTATAATCCAGCGCCATCAATGAATGATCAGCGTATAGTAGCGTGAGAGTGTAAGTGATGGACAACTAGTCATACCCTATACTAATAATGTTTGATTTTTGGACTAAAATTTCTATCAAACTAGAAAAATATATGTTCAAATCTGTATAGGAAAATAAATACAAAATTCTAGAAGAATGAAATAATTAAAACTTCTTTTCATCACAAGAAAAAATCCAAATTCTTATATTGAAATTTTAATTTCTCATATATCCTTAATGATATTATTCAGTATTTATCAGATGAAAAGAATTATCTTTTAGGATTTAGGATTTAGGTTTGATTTCATAATGATATATTTTTATAATTCTTAAAATAGAGCGCAAATCTAAAATTTGAAATTGAAAACACTTGTTTCAAAATACTTTGAATTTAAAAATTTATCATCCAAGTTTTATAGACTTAAGTTCATACATGTTTTGTGATAAACATTATTTCCTAAGCTGCTAATGTTTTCAATATTTTTTGGATTCAAATATGTGTGATTGTTGAGATTCAAACCAGTCAATAGGGTCATAAAATTCATTTAAAATTGGATGTTCACTTGATTAAAAATTGATTCAATGTGCATGCATTACCAATAATTAAAAATTCATAAACATACACATGTAATTAATTTTTAAAAATATTTTTTTTGCATTTGAAAATGTACATTTATCAGCCTAAAGTTTCATCATGCAGTTTTATCCAAAAAACGCAATGTTTTCATGTTTATTTGATAATTGAACAGAATTAAATATGCCTATTGATGTTGTAACATAATATAGGTGGGGAGGAATTTATAATACATGTAAAAATTCTAAATCTTGATTCAAATACAAGCATTAATTGAAGGATAAATCTTATTCCAACCAATATTGATATAATTAATCTTTAAAAAACTCGACTCATAAATATTCCAATTTTGATTCAGAAATTTTCATTGTGATGTTTGATCTTAACTATAAAATGATGTATTAACAAGATTATAAATAATAAAATCTTAGTTCATTTTTGGAATATTTTTGAATGAATAATCAACATATACTATTTTTTTGCTGTTATTTAATGTCTACAATTAAAAATTATATTGATCTTCATGTTTTATATGCTATCAATGATATTTGCATTCATACATTCAGTCCAAAAAACGTTTTGAAAAGAAAAATATATAATTAAATTAATTACACATCAAATTTATCTAATTTTTTAATTTTTAATAAATACGGTCGTATTGTCAGGACTCAAAATATTTCTGTTCATTTTTTGAGAAAAACCTTGTTCAATTAAATGACCTACATTTATTTATCTTACTGAAAGAAATTTTTTTGCATAAAAACTATGTTCTTTATAAATTGCAGCAAAATTTTTATATATGTTGGTCATGTTACCTTAAACCACACATATAACTTGATGTAATGATTGAAATCTGCATTTTTGCAATAAATTTAGACACAACATAATCTCGTTAAATAGTGCAATTATTAGATGTTTTTTACTTCTACGTTTTCTGGCGAGTCTATGTCTATGCATATCGTCTGAGTCGCATCTCCGCATTCAAAACTCATTTTTTGAAACATGTCAAGATTATAATATTTAAAGAATGCTTTTATATGTTTTGATCTTCTATCAGTAGATTAATTGTGAAAAAAAGGAAAAATTATAAATTATGATGTTAAAAGTGTATAACATAAAATAATTAAACATCTATGCATAAATCTAACAAAGGTGCATGGATTGAACTATTTTTTCTGTGATCTATACAAAACTATTCTTATTCCTCATGTGAACACTAAATTTTGATCTCTTTTGTCATATATATGAAACCTTCAATCACATTTTTTTTTAGTAAAAATTCAGATTTTTCCTTTGAGAGCTTTGAAAAATGACACGAGAAGCCGAGGGCAATAAAAAAAAATGTTATCAATGATGGCTATATCCTAAGCTATTTATGTTCCCTTCGATTTCCGACAGTTGCTTCACGTTGTGCATTTCACTGTTTCCTGGTTCTTGCAATAACAGCAGGGGCTAGTAAGGAAAATTTTTGTACACATAACAATGCATAAAAATTTCAAGGTGGAAAAACTTAAGAGAATCATGTTTCTTAGTTAATAATTCACTCTATCATAAACAATACTTAATGATATAAGTCGCGAAAAGGTGTAAGTTATGTTTTCTAAAAATAAATAATTAGTAATGAAATTTTGTATCTTAAGAGAATACTAGATATCATGACAAAATGTCATTCATAAGCAACTTATGCTCATTATGAACATTACAAAGATGCATGATCACCTTCAGAGAGAAAAATATCCAAACGAAGGTTTTGAACCTATATGAACCTAAATTTTCCAGTTTTTCAGATTTGAAAGCTGTTAATGATTATAAAATTTATACGAAAATTCCTATATTTAAGTGTTAAAATTTTTTATTTCTTTAGAAATGAAAATCTTCTTTGTCGAAACAAAAGTGAAACCGCTCCTGCTTGATTTCCTTATTTGTGACATTCGGTGTATAGCTTAGATCATCCGTGTTTGAATTTGACTTGTAGTTTTGCCATACCACTACCCTCATACCTAGTCTCACTTCAACATGTGATAAGTCGACTTAAATCATTTTGGTTGTTGATATATACATTTACGCAAGGAGCTTAACAAACAATATATCATTTTTGTAGGTTTAAGTCTATCATGTCAATCTCCAATGGGAATATCACATGCTTAAGTCATAGGTATTAATGCAACTGTCCATTTTACCATGTTTTTCCGTCAACAGACAATGTCGTGTGGGTCTAAGATAGAAATCGGGAAAGAGAAAAATAATTCATTATAAAATTCAATATTTCACTGCGACATAAGTTGTCAACTGCAGCGCATCATGTCGAACAGCCAGCCTGGCTGAAGAAGGCCATTGAGGATAACGCATGCACAATCGCATGATCAAATTGGACACTCTTTCGGCGTCGGGAGAATCAAAGAATGGGCACGCTACGCTGGCCCCGATACGATCACCATCGGATTGCATTTCCATGTGCCATTTGCCTTTAGCTCGAGAAAAGATGTGCTGTAGCTCGTAGGCAGGGATGTGCCAAATGACAATTCGGGGCCCTCCACATGGCGTTCGGCCCAACCATATCCTCCCTCGGGACGAAGAAAGTGCATTCCTTGTGGTCGATGCACGAGTTTCGGTCTGCTTGCCCAACTTTACATTATGTCATGTCATGTCATATCATGTCACAGCAGGGAACAGATCTTGTGGTGGAATGAAGCAAGACGGCGCAGATTGGAACTTGCTAGACGGGTACGAGGAGTGCAGAGCCAAGGAGCTTCTGAATTCTTCGCTATGTCCCGCTATGGCTATGGCTGGGGTGGTGGCCCGGCCGACGTCAGAAAGTACACACCTCCTCAGCATTCCATTGGATCAGGCTGCGGATGCATTTGCAGCCAAATCCACAGCAAACCTCTCGACATGATAAATTCGTCACGGCATATGAATTCGAGCCGGCGGGGGCATACTGCGCTGATACCAACGTGGTTAGCATCGGTCCGATCTGACGATGATGACGGCGACGGGGATAACCGAGAGTCAATGGAACCTTCGTCATTCTCGATATCAGAGCACGTGCTCACGCTGTAGTAGTACATTGACCGGAACAAGGTTGGTGGTGGAAGCATTTTCTTCGAGATCCGACCTGCAGAGTCGACAGTGAACGAATAGATCAGTCTATGATGAACGCACATTTACTTTAGAAAGTGGTCACTTACTTGAAGCCTAATTTGCAATGGTACAAAGCAATTTGCTCCCCATCGTGATGCTGTTGGTGCCCGGCCCCAAGCTAACACGTTTTGTTCAATCCCTGCACGGCTTGATCCCATCTTCTCATCCTTTTCGCTATATTATTTGACCCCACCCCTCCTTTATTGGTTTCAAGCCAAAGGTTATGGAGGCTGTTACCATCGAGGTCGTGACGAAGTTTTCTGACTTGACCTGACCATTGCTTCCGTTAATCCGTCTCCAAGTTTGATCAGAAGCTCAGGAATTGGCTCGGTTCTAAAACACACAAATCCAGAATCTAAGACACCCTGTGATAAACTGTTTGTGATACCTCCATAGAAAAGTCACAACCTATGACATGGCGCGATGAATCGAGAGATACATTTGGAGATACGTAATTATCATCTTCGGGTTAAGAGTGCCGGGAAATCTCGTAATTCTCCAAACGAAGGGAGTTGAAGGTGTTGAGCCCATGCCCACCTTCGAGCACCAGTGCAATTGTAGCCTGTGGAAATTCTGTCTTAATAAATTCCTCATCGTACGCCGTGGACAGAAGAATCTAAATGTGAACTCTAAGCTAGTCGCGGGATGACCTGGGCTACCAAAAGGCTACAATCAGGAAAAGCTGAATCTAGAATTCCGTCTAAGAAGATGGACAGGATCGGATAAGCTCAGCGTCGGAACAATGGCATGCACAAAGGTCGTAAGCTCGTCGAGTGCTCACTTTTGAGCCTACAAACTCGATGGAAACCAGGAGCCCAGGAGCTCAGGACATGAAACGCACATGAACGTACGCAAGCCGTTTATCTTCGTCATCATAAGCGGACATATTATACGGACAGAGGTGCATTTGAATGAAATGGCCAGCGGATTGTGCGTTTGTGTGTCCATGTTGCCCGCTATCCATCGAAGTGCGAACCACGGCCCTCGAGGCCAAATCTGCCTCCTGCAATGCCGTGCTCTGATCAGGCCACGGCACGTTCCATTGCTTCCCTGCTTCGCTGCTGGCCGGTGGCCTGTGGGGACAGAGGGAGGGACCCATGGAGTGTGCTCCGCGAGCACACACTTTCCACTTGCCTAGAGCTAAAGCGGCGGGTCCAAGGAAGCGGGAAGAGGCCGAGAGAGGTCCGATGAGCCGGATCCACGTTGTGCGTGATGCGGCAGGCAGCGAGCTCAGAGTGTCAGAGCTCTGTGAGGACGAGATCTGCAATTTGTAAACATCGGCACATGCAAAGTTATGGGGGGGAGTGCAGTCCATGGTGTCAGGAAATGCGAGCCGAGGGAGGCGATGCGAGGCAATGCAAGGCAATGGGTCCCGTCGATCGAGACCTCTAGATACTACCAGTACTTGCTCTTTGCTCGGCTACTTCATTGGACGGATCTTTCGTCGGCATCGTGAGCTGCAGCAGGAGATCAGATGATCACACCGGTGCTGGTGCTGGTGACTGATTTGTTTCTGATCTGCCTGGCGACGATGCTTCGACATTCATTCAACACCTTGACTTTTCGCATCGAAGTGGGTCTCTCTCGAAATCTGAGACTTGGCTCGCTCGACTCGACAAGACAAAGACCGATCCGTTGTTTTGGTTGGCGGTCCGTCGTCCGTCCTCGGCTCTGCTGCTTCGACACTCACGAGTCACGAGTGAGCTCTTCCTCCATCCCCCTCCCTGCTCGAGAGCGAAGAAGGGTGCATGCGAGCCTGACCGTCTTCCATTGCTGTCCATGTCGAAAGCGAGGGCTCGAGTGTTGTCAATTGTTCCCTCGATCGTCATCACTTCGTACTCGACACTACCGTAGAAACCATAGCTCTCGACTGTGTGGTATCGTTCGCGTGCCCTTTCATACACAGCCTTCGGTGCAATACATAAACAATATCCACTGTCATGATATTTGGGCTAGTCCCATGTTACCCCTTACCCCGTATTTTATGCTATTTTACTTAGCCCGTCTTACTGCAAAAAAAGTGTTTTATGATAGAAATTAAAAAAATTTGATGGAATTTTGTCATCTTTATTTTATTTAAGATCCAAGTGTTTAGTCTTTGCAACAGATATTTGTGGACTGATAAGAGATTAGTGTGCAGAAACTACTTTTTATAATGGTCTTTAGACCCTTTTACAACTTGACCTCAAGGTCAAGTTGCCAACCCCAGTCTCTGCTTCCATCCTCAAGGTAGCACGATATACATACAACTTACATTCTGAGAATAGAGGTCCAGCAATAAAATAAAATGACTCGCTGAATGAGGTTATGGGGGTTCCTTTTTGGATAAAACTACGTATCTTAGGGTGATTATTCAAGACTCTTCTCCATGAGTATGATGACTGCACTGCTTCGAGCTTTGAAATTAGGGTCATCAAATCTTAAAATGCTATGAACTTAGCTTTCGTGGATGACATAGCGAACACGCTTGCAATCATTTGTTCATTACTTGAGTTGCACTTTGACTCTTTCCATACATTGCCTCGAGAAGTGATGCTTATCACAGTACCCTTTATATGCAAGACGTAATATCCTCATACATCATAAGATAAGATGGTTGCTCTAACTAATGACAATGTAGTGCCTTAAGAAGCCAAGGAGCTTTGCAACACTAGCAAGAGCTACATACTCTACCCCATAGTGAATGTAATTTTAATTTACTTCTTGCTAGACCAACATATAACAACATTTCCCATTCAGAAAACAGATCCACATGCTGAACATAACATAGTTTGGCGACCTCCTCAATCTACACGACTAAAGCCTTATTGTAGTGTAGCGTTATAATTAGTGCTAAGAAGAATCATATCTTTCGTCCCGTGTAGGTAAAAAAGATATGTCTAACTTCATGAAAGAGTGATTTATAATTGCATATAAATTGTCCAGAATGCATATAAGCATGTGTAATATCTTAGATGTTACCATGTTACATCAAAGAAGTCCTGGCTCTTTGATAAAACTTGATTCCATAGGTTTCACCTGGTGTGTCAATTAAATTTCTGATAGGATGACAATACTTCATTGGTTTAGCTTCAGCTTAGCATACCCTATGCCAGACTCCCGCAGCTTCTCAAAACTATACTCAGTTTGGCTCAAACTTACGAAGTCATTATTATTATCCTTCATCTCAAAGCAAATTTGTATCCACTCACAAATTTAAATTCTCTACCATCAGCTATCACATCATCCACATAATTGATAAGTGCTACCATTTATTCCTCATATTCCATGAAAATTTACAGAAAGTGAACCCTTTAATCATTATCGTGTAGATTAAGAATAAAAGTTCTCCTTACATCCATGAACTCCTTGCTTCAAACCAACAAACTTTTCAAATATCTTAAGACCTTGTCTCATTGCTCAATCGTGTAGATCGTGTAATTTCTCTTCTTTCAACTAGGAATCAAAGTTGATGGCAGAACATCTAACCGATTAATAATCTGATCTAGCATACCAAGTATAGCAACAAATATGAGAGTTTCTGGCAAGACGTGTGACGTGCAAAGGTTTCTTGACAGTCGACCTTATTTTGAACCTTTCATCGTTCAATAATGGGTCAATTTCCTTCGAATGCCCACTTTCATTTTATGACTTTGTTATCTCTGAGCAGTTTAGCAAACTCCATTAAAAAACTGTAATTTCATTTCTACTCCTTTCCTTTTCTACCTTGAGTTCATTCCAATGCATACTCCAAAGTCTTAGCTTTTAGTATCAGCAAGAACATAAGCAATTCTCAGTAGCCAAATCCAAGACATCAACATCTCTCACAAACTCTGCGTAATAATGCGAAGAAAGGAATGTCTTCCTTGAGTTTTAACATTATTTTTCTGGATCAATTCAAAATTCACGAGTATGCCTTACTTCTTGTCAAACTATAGCTCCTATATAAGTGTAATACAAAATCATGGTCATATACTTCAGAGTCATTTTTCTCCCCTAAAAATGAATGAGGGCAGTTGGCTACTGAATTTCGATCAAAAGACATATATCATGACTTATCCAGGGTCCAAATGCAATACAAATCCGTGAAACTTGTAAAATAACTAAACACACGGAAACCAAACATTTATAAAGTGATGAGAAATACATCATAATTACATTTCAGAGGACACAGCCAGCAGAAGCAACACAAAGTCAGCGACAGATGCAGATTTCAAACTTTCTCGGGCTCTCAATTTGACGCGATCTGTGGTCCAGTGACGATCATTGATGTCCAGATCGTGGAGACGGCCTCGGGAACAAGCGGTCCATCATTAGTTGGAGGAGAAAAGGCTACCGCCCAGTCATATCTTCAAACAATACGAACGATATAGTACATACGATGGTCGGAAAGTTGGATACTGCCTTCTAATACCGTTCATGAGTTCCGCATATGTATCTAGGTACTGACACGTCAGCAATCAGCTTCACACCCCCTACGTGGCATAGGAAAATTGTGCTCCCGGTAACCCATACGATGATCGGGTGCAAATCCAGCGAAAAGCACCCAAAATAAATAAATTTAAGAGGGGTTTTACACCGAAGTTTGGCAAGTGATATCTTTAAGACTCATAATAATGTTAATTTACTTCGTTTGTATGCAGTAGCCATGAAGTGTACTTCTGGCTACTGCATATGGATTGGGAAAAGCATATGAATGTGTTGGGATTGTATCGATCGGCATGTTACTCAGCGGCAGTTCTTATTACTTTGATTTGCAGATGCGAGGTTTATTTACTGACATCAATAACGTGGAATGGTGTACTCTACGCAATCGTGCTTAAAATGAAAATACCAAGTCATCGAATGCCCATAACTCCCAACTCGTCGGCTTTGACCTGAACCCTCGATAATTCTTTTCTCATTGTGGGATACTTCATTGATAGTCTCACCATGAGTATCGGTCTGGCTTAAACTATTAATCGTCCGTATATTAATCGCTTCCATATATTATCGTCCAATTTAATCGTCCAATTTCTCGGTTATATGTTGAATAGCGCTGCGAGTCCTCTTTCGAGTGCAGTTGCAAAGCTATGCACATGAGAGAGCAATCACACCAGTTACCGAAAATGAAATGAATATGTTATTTATAACTTATTTGATATTGATAACTTCAAAATTCCAAATGACAATAAAACATAGATTCCTACAATAATTTAATGAAGATAATAATGTAGTAATTTCTACACCATACTATTGAGAAATATTGCTTCCCTTTGTTTTATACTTTGTACACATTGGAAAGAGAATTAACATTGTTTTCGCCGTCCACTTGATAATAAATAGTCTTGAATCTTCGTTATGGGATGTGATGAGCAATTGGAGTTTCAAGTGAAGAAGATGAGCTGACGACTGCGAAGGAAGGACTCAGAGGCAGTTTGTTTCACAAGAGTGCACCACTCGAGTGCCGTACGTCCATTGTGAGTGCGCTTGTTGCTCGCACGCATCTAATGTGCTCATCCACACCTCGCACTGTCGTCTGCTCTCTCCGTTTGCCGTTTGCCTTGATTCTGAGCGAGTGGAGCGAGCAATGCCAGCACCGACGAGCACCGAGCACGGTATGGAATCATGGACAATGAATTCCTTGTGTTGCTGAGTGCTTCACTGAAGAAAGTCGTATTCTCGTTGCAATGCGCTCAGAAAACCTCACTCGGGCTTCTGCATCTCAGAAAGTGCTCTCGACTGAATCTGAAAGGACTGGAACCTCATGGCAATTTCTCTGTCCTGCAAGCGTCTGGGGATGCGAAGGACATGAGTGACGCTCACTGCATTGAAGTATTTGCACTGGCCGAAATTGCATGAGGATACTATCAAGATTCGAGCATCGTGTTAATTAACTTTCACACAGTGCAGAGGACAAAGGAAAGGCAGGCAGGCATCACAAGAATTTGGCAACTATGATAAATGCCCAGGTACTTGCTCGCAAACTATTGGCGATACAGGTATGATGGAAATGATCGATCACTCACAACTCTCACTGTTTTGACACTCGAACCAAGGTGACATGTGGGGGGGCTTGATTCGTTTCCGAATACATCTTCGGTAAGATTCGAAATTCAAAGTCCGAGCTCGAGCTTCATCATTCATTCTTTCGTGAGCTCGGTGAATAAGCCACCATCAATCAACCGATCCGTTTGCATAGTTCGCCAAATCCGTGCACTCGACGACTCGAATGACCTGTTACCCGCAAAGTTCAGTACTCTCGCATTTGAATCACTAACGTCCACGATTCCTCGGCACTAAATGACACCTACGCTTGAGCATGAGGGTCGACCCCGGACAGTCTGCAAGAGGAGGACGAGGAGGAAGATGCAAGACATTCGACAGTCCGAATCGCCCAATATTCCCTTACCTTAATGGAAGAATAAAATTATCTAAACCCGAACTGATGCGTTTAGGTGGCAGTACTGTGTTTCCCAGCACGCTCGATGAACAGGCCATGAGAAATCATGGACTGAGATTCATCCCCAGATGTGTGTGCTGATGATGATGATGCCAAATGACCGTCCTTTCAGATATCTGATCTCCATTCCCATCCATTTTGCCCCGTTCGCTCGGTACGAAATAACCAACAGCGCAGTGCAGTGCAGTGCAGGCAGATCTGCAACAGGGCAAGAAAAGGCATACTGTACGAGTGCAAATCCTTTGCTGGACCTCATTGGCCTGCCTTTATACGTTGCCGAGGCGAGGGACGTCCATCCCGAGGCCCGATCTCCAAACGGCATTGCTTAGTGAAGACGTCACTATTAAGGGTGCGATTGCAGCGATCCGTGCAAATGACATCCATATCCAAACCCAACCCCAAAATCAACCAAGGATGGATGAATGGATGGATGTCATCACGTTCAGCAGTTCCGGGGTGGATTCAAACATCCACCACTGCTTCTGCTTCTTGTACGAAACGATGGATGAGGTATGGAAACAGTCGCAGAAGTTACAAAACCCGGTAGCTCGATGACAGAGTTGAAGTAAATCAAAGATAGTTTGACCGATACTGATGAACTGGGGCATCCTCATTCCCAACGATGGATGGATCCGTGCAACATCCTGCTGCACAAGAAGAAGAAGTAGGAGAAGGTGCATAATGATGATGATGATGACGACGGTGATGCCAGATCCGCACCACGAACAAATTCAGGGAACTAATACGCCCCAAATCGAAGCACTACATGAGCCTGTAACATTCCTGTATGTATAAATTCAAATACAGGGGATCCGATTCAGTACAGTCCGCTGCCAGGAGCAGCAGCGGCAGCGAAATCTGGAAGATAAGAAGACAGTAGATACAGAGAAAAGTCACAGAAAAATCTTCAAACTTGTTGGAATTCCTACTTCATCTTCCTCCATCTCTGGACTGGAATGTTTTGGGCGACAGTGGGATGTAGTTGTTGAGCTACCTCCTTGCACCGTAACAGATCCGAGTACTCTTCCACTCTGTGCTCTGCAGGACGTAACAGAACCAGCAGCAGGCCCAGTGAAGTCGGAAGGTCAACGTAGAAACGTCAGGAGCAGAAGAAACGCAAGGACTACTGTACCATACTGCACCCTTTTTCAAGCCTGGACTAACAAACTCTCTCTCTTTCTCTCGTTCTCTCCATGTTTTGAATATAACTGCTACTCCTAGGCCTCACGTGAGCCTCCCCTAAGCTTATGAAATCCTGAACCATACATCACAACACAACACCACACCATTCACTGCGTACTCTGTCTTGGTGACAATAGTGTTCATCAGCCCCTACGATCAGCGTAGGTCCGGTCAGACGTAATTCATAGGTAGATAGATAAGTCGAGTCAAAGTTCAACTACACACACTAATGTACTGTACTGTAGTAGTATGTACCCAGTACCACTGACTTGCAAACTGTTAGGCTAGGGCCGAAAAAAAGACACTGTTTTGCCTTGTCGGTTTAAAAGGTTCGCAAGTGGTCATCCGTCTTAAATTAAAGCTCACCGTAATCATTGCTTTCTTTTGAGATTTGCAGAGGTTCGTTTATCGATGTCTCTTTGCGTTTGTTCCAGAGTGTTCGTTGGTTGGTTGGTTTGTTTGTTGCTCCTTCGTTTTCATAGTGTTACTCAGACAGGGGAACCAAGTTAGACAGCCAAAAGGCTGGGAAGATCGTGTCAATCTGGATGCTACTGCGTTGTGAATTCATTCGAGACCTAGATTTGTCTGTTGTTGGATAGAATCAGATTGGTGATCAGAGTACTGAGAGTGTTGAAAGAAGTTAGAAGGCGAGATGCAGGTGTAAGATTTTGCCATAAGTAAATGAAGCGGATGCGGATTCGTTGTACTTGTACCCAGAAGAGGAGGAATGAATGATGTAGGAGCGTGTTAGCCTATCAGATGTTAGTCAATTGTGTGAGGTTGTATAATAACGAACATGAGCAACATTGATGTATCAATCTCCAATAAATTGAATGTAACTCCACAAGATCGTGTCGAGACTTCGATGCTGTGAGGACAAGTACCATTCTCGCTTGAAGGCAAATTTTTATAAACGTACACATGAGGAACACAGCAGAGCATAAAAGTATGTCCGATCACATTGTCGATGAAGAATATCGTGAAATCAGTAGATCACACGTTGACGAGAGATGCGGGAAGTGATGGATTACGTATACAACCAAAATCCACAGTCGAAAGACATGCACACATCTTAGAAAAGGGAGCCTTGAATTCCACTAATGTCAATCTATAAGGCTGATGGCAAGATCTGCCCAAGTGACTGCTTCTAGGAAAAGCAGGTTCCATATGCAAAGATAGACATAGCGTGGTGTTACACAGGGCTTGGGCTCTTTGTAAAGTGATAGATAATGTCCTGTTGTCAGAAGAAAGACAGTGCTTTCCAGCCAATCCTTTCAACATCAAAACAGAAGGTTAACAAAATTGACGGTCGTATAGCTTGATGATGGATAAAAAAATAATCACAAAGGTTCAGAATCTACAAATCTTTATTAAAAGCACGTTCTGACTTGCTTCTTCAGATTTCATGAAGGATCCTTGCCTATGTTGGACAAGTCCTGTTCAGGGCGTTGTAGGTGAAGTTGTAAACACTTATATTCTCTAACCACCCAGCGGATCCAAAAGCAGCAATGTCGATCCCACAATCATCAATATTTCATAGAGATGTTCATTTAATGTCATTTCGATCGCTCTGTAAGCTCATATAATGCTATGTTTCATATCAATAAATTTTTCCTACAAGCTACTTATTATGGGAGACAATTTAAGATTGTAGAATATACGATTTTGTACGTTAAAACAAAGAAATAAAACATAACGCATGTCTCTGTAAATCATTGATTCCATGTGTTTATTCCTTACTTTCTACTTGAATGTCTTGATTCATCTGAACTTTCTGATCAATCGACATAATTATGAAATACAAAATAACAACATGGGAGTTCATACATTTCTTGCAACATCCTAAACCCAAAATAGAAAAAGAACAAAACAGTCAATGCAGCCACAGGTTCGTGCCGCTACCTCGTTACAAGTTAATTCTGATGACAATTAAATGTAATTTTGATTTGGCAGGACCATTCTTCTTTCGATCGTCCCCAAATGTATTAAATTTGTCCTAGATAAAATTTTGGAAAAAAATTCCGAGGAGTTGTTTAAGCAGACACCGTTGGGGCTTACCCAATAGCCCCATCTTACCGCTTGGAGTCATTCATGTATGGCTCCATAGGTCACTTGATTTATCACTTGGTCCCCCTTACCGTAAGCTAACAGCGATGACCGACGCTAGTAATGAATGGTCTGGTTGTAGATGAGGTTTCTGGATTCAGACGGGTTTCACGGATCGGAAGCTGAGAGGAAAGATGCAACGGAGTCCAAACACATTTGTAACAGACACGGCACTATCTAACTCTCTGGGGCCATCATTCCGAATCTAGAGTTGATTGCAGGTACCAGTTGCGTGTTTGTACAGTCCCGGGAGCCAAGCTAGCTTTACATCTCAGCACGTTACTCTCATCAACATGTTTGGACAAAAGGCAGATTGAGCTCCATGCGTTGATTTTCGAAGACTTCCCCCACAATTTCAGAGTTCATCCACCGGCCCTAAAGGATTTGACGACGCCACAGTAGCCTAATATCTTGTGCTCTTTAAGAAGCACTTTACGTCCTTCTGCTTCTTCGTTAAGAGGGTTTCGACATTGTTCCTCGAGGCCTATATCCTGTACTGGTTATAGGTAGATGGCATCACAATCTATAGGCAACCCCACTTTTGGCGGATTTGAATGTGGAGGATCTTGTGGATTTTCCAGCACATCACATCCAACATTCATCGGTTCAGGGTGGCGGCAAAGTGACTGTATGAGGACGACAATTGATGGTTTAATGGGACCAAAGACGATCCCAGCTTCTTCTTATTTACTCGTTTTCCCTCTTCAGCTCAGGGGGTGAGTCATGACTGGATCCACATCAAACTCAGCAGATCTACATCAGGCATATGGTCTATGAAGTACTCCACACAGTGTGTGACACAGATACTAATGTATCTGAATGTCATTCCTCCACGAAAACATACATCTAGCAACTGTAGTGACTCTTCTGGTTCCATTTCAGTACCTGTTGCGCATGTGGCTCTGCTGTATGTACTTTTTGCAGTTGTTTCCTGGATCCAGAAGAGACCTCACTGAGAGGGAGGTCCCAAGGTTCACTGTCTGGCCGCACACGCTTGACGGAATTGAGCTCTGCAGCGAAGGTTTCCACTCTCCACACTTTCTCTACGCTTGTCCATTGTTATGGACCATGAACTAAAGATTTGGACCTCCGATGTGGCTGGTTGTTAGTGTGGTAACATGATGATGCGTAATCTCCCAAACAGCAAGTGACAGTAATCCAGAAGAGTAGAAAGGTACAGAGGGAAATCCTGGAGCCTTGGTATAGATTACCAGCGTGATGCTCAAAGGCTTCGGTGACAGTAACATGTCTTCACGATGACTGCCCACAAGTGGAGCCATTCACAACGAGACTATGGGGAAATTCGAACGCATGATGATGTGGAGGATCTGTGGAGGAATTGAGGGGGAGGCGTTCAGACTGGCTCGTCGTCCGTCAACGTGTTGTCTGTGGTGAAACTACGAAATAGTGCATACATACCTGATGGAAAACTCGTGACGAATCTAAGTTGTACATTTGCCCAGACGCTGAAATATCTCCCCGACTCTGCAACGATAATCAAGCTCTACGGGTAAGTACGTCTGCAAACTTCAGCCGTAGGTCGGCAATTTGCAGGTACAGATACTGAAATATCTACGGATTATACTATTCTTCTAACCGCTATGACAGTACGTATAACGTATCTGACTGAAGGAGAGATTTTGAATTATGAAAGAGTTCCACTTTTGCCCAATTGCTTCCCCTGCTCTCACGAAATCCCGAGCCTCCAATTGATGTAGCGAGAAGTCAGTGCTTTGCGACTTGCAAGTCGCATGCGATGAAACCCATGAGAATGGAGCAAAAAAAGGTGGCAACAGCATTATTTATCTGACCACGGCCTGGGCTCTTCTTAATGTTTCGGATGACAAGCTATCCAGCGTTACTTAACCTTTCCGAGAGTGACATCTTTCTCGTTTTTACTCCAAACGTCAGAGAAATAGGAAGAAATATGTAGATATTTCTTCACGGTTGGAAGCTGACTCCGATGTTGGTGTTGGCTGTGGCATCCTGTACCACAGTAAAGAAGAAAACACGACGCTTTGCTTAGCTGGTGTGCGACTCCTATATAGGATGGCTCCATCATGAAACTAGAAGCTCCCATGGACCTGAGTACCAATGTCGTCAGTCGTGAGATGTTCAAGCGCGTATCAAGAGCTAGACGCATTGCGACCAGCCCAACTTTTCAAGCTTGTCCTCCACGGACCATTCCGGACAAATGTTTCCCCACTGACAAGGGTTACGCTCGACGTTTCTCTACCGAAATAATATCCTATTGGTTAACTTCTTCCGGCGTTTTGCAACTTGTTGGCAGTGAGAGGATATCGATTATGTCCCGGAGTACGCTTTGCCTTTTTAGTGGAGATCTTGGGGGCTTGGGGCTGGTTCTAACCAGGACAGGGGGCGAGAGGCAACTTGAGCTGTTGATTGAGCTGCGTTGCTCGAACAAAGACAATCACTGAAGAACACAAAGCCCACAGTATGTGGTTCTACATTGACACAACATCCACATTGAACGTTCAGGAAAGAAAGCAGAGCTTCCTTGCGATACCGTGGATACTCTTAGGGAGCCCGTAACAGGGAGCATATACGGTGTTGTGATACTTTTCTCGAAGAGGGCAAAACCTACTTTTATAAAGATTTCTCTGTCACTCAGAACTGCCTGTGAGAGATCTTACGTGCTCTCTCGTTTATGAGTTTATCTGTCAGTCAGAGAGGTAACGCGCTACATGACTATCCACACCTTCGTAAGGTATATCACTTGTTTCACTAAATTACAAAATCCTCGCGAGAGCACCCGGACTGACTCCATTGACGACGGTATTGCAATTGTTTTTAGACCAATTCCACTGTCCATCTCCGTATCTTCACGACTATAGCATACTCAGTTCACAGTACTCACTCTATTCTGAAAGAAGACCGGGACTGCTCGAAAGAGAGATTCTTTGCTTCGGGGGTATACTCACTTCCGATCCAGGACAGTGTAAATAGCTCCATCAGCGTAAGAAAATAGAGCCACGATACCAATACTTCCTAAACCGGCAAGTCAACAAAAAACGGTGAAGGCCTCAGGACAAAATTCAGAAAATCCCACGTCTTGAAAGGATACAAAGGCGTGGATCACCTAATGCACACGAGCTCGACAAGAGAAATTATCGCTATGTCCAGTATCAAGTGGAAGTCTCAACTTTGACTTCCAGTCTCCGTACTTCTGTTTTCCACCTCAGGCACACCTTCAGGCAATATATCGTCGTCTATCTCACTAGTCAGTTTACCAGCTGCCATCTCTGCTTCCATCTTCAAGCGACTTTCTTCCCTCCAGTTTGTCCATTTCGTCCTCACTTCGGCTATTTCCGCTTCACCTATGAACCCCTGTAACTCTAGATTTTTTAGAAAGAAACTCCAATGAGGCAAGGATTCGTCTAATAAGGGGGTCATTCTGGGTAAAAGTACGTTCCGCCAAAACACATCGACGTTTTCTTCTATACGATTAGACATGTGTAACTTCGGTAACTCCTTCAACCTTTCGACGCCGACATCGCTTTCACGGAAAGCCCTTTCGCTTGCTGGAGCAAGTAGTTGTCGAAATGGATAAAAAGAGTTACGAGCGAGCAGTAGACCTTCGGAAGGGGCCAGGGGAAGGATAACTCGGGTGTGCCGACACAGAGAGAGGGATATAATGTCACGAGGCAACAGTCCCCTAGCAACACCTACTGCTGTAGCAACCATCTTCCTTATCTGCATGAACCACCAGTCAATATACAACAGACATAAGAACTTGACAACAACGTCTGAGTCGTCGCCAGAAAAACAATTCTCGCAATTAGACCGATAAAAAAGATCTCAATGCAAGTGTCAAACTCCACCTGATGGACCATAAAGGATTCCCCGGTGATTGAGATGCGGACGAAGCGAACCCCGTTGCTAACTTCCAATCCACCGCAAGAACATTCTAAAATTCGTCTGAAGTGAGATGGACCAAGTTTATCAGCCAAATTTGGAGAACTCAGCCAGTAAGCTTTGACGTCTAACATATCACTTAACAAAGTAGAGTTGACATCCGGAATTTTTTCTTCGGCTTCAGGTTGGTCTGCATCCTCATCTAATCCATCTCCTTCAGTTCCAGCTACTACCTCTGTTTTCACAGGAAATGGAGAGCGTCGACGGCTGTTGTTCTTTCCCCAAGAACTCTTAGCATTCAGTGTACTGCTTCTGTAGAGCCTGCGCTGTGTGAAATTGTGGAACGGGAACCTGCCCTGGAAAAGTGACAAAACAAGTGATGTCCTCGAAAGTCAACAAAGAGTGATTTAAATCATTTTAGGTCTTGAGGATGACCGACTATATGGCTGACTCACCAGTTCTTCACCTACAAGGCAACGCCCATTGAAGAGCCATGAGAAGACACGCTGACGCTACCTCGAACACATTCACCAATAACTACATTCGTCCTCTCGTCGTTTCGCTCTGAGACTTACTCGCTTTTGATAGGTCTTCGTTAGTGATGACTGCAAAAAGATACGACTTCATCGCGGTTGCACTGTCGCTTGAGCCTTCGTGCAATCGCCCTTACACTTCATCCCATTCTCACAAAATCTCTGTTCGTTACTTCAGACGGTTTTGACAGTCACTTTTTTCCAACAGCAAAGGCAGGAAGGGGATTGTATGACCAGGTCGAATCAGACCATCTTGAGTCAACGGATATGAGAATGTGACTGTAGCGGATCGTATTCAGGTAAGCTGCGACTACTTTGAAGGGATGGCCCCTACCGAGCACATCATAGGGTAGATTGTTCAGATCAACATCAACCTCAGATTGATTTTCTTTCCATGGTCAACAAGACGGCGGTTCTTCGATTATCGTTTCCACGTTGAAATTACCTCACTTTCACTCAGAAAAAGTAACCTTTCAAGCAGTGCATAGCACAAGATATTAATACTTTTCTTGAAACTGCTACCTCTCCGTCAGCACGTACACATACTCTAAATACGAAAAGCATCAATTCATTAAGAGCACGACGTACGAGAACCTATTCTTAGAGACTCACCACAAACTGATTGAGGATTTGACGAAATTCTTCGATACGCTGGCCTACAACTTCCGGTGGGGTGTCCTCACCAATCTCGATTAAGTCAGCTGGAAGCAAATAATTGTAAGTTCGGGTGCAGCAGAAACGCCTAGCATCGAAAGACCTGGATAACGATTGTGATCAGAAAGAAGGACAAAAACAATCAAGACTTTCAACTGAAAAATTACATCCCAAGCGTAAATGTCTTTTAAGTGCACTCTTATCATACAAATGTGCAATACATTCCTCCAGCAGCATTTGCGGAGACTGTGGACCTCATCAAAGCCGGAGCGCATCAAGGTTTTTAGGACTATAAGAACATTACTTGGTCACTGGGACAACTCCAAACACTCGAATCGTTGAAGGTAGATGGATGTTTATGCTTTCGGCCAACTGCAAACCATCTGTATCAGATATCCAAGCTGTTGGAGGTAGTTCCATTTTCATTGTAATGACGGTGGCCAGAGAGTGAACCTGCATTTCATCGTTTGTCACAATGGCATCAGGGCTAATGCTTTAAGGGCTGGAGTCTAGAATGTAGATAGGAGAGTATATGACCAACATACATGCCGCGATCGATGATAAAGCTCATACAAAGAAATGCATTTTCAATGCCTGAAATGTGAGAGCAATGGGCCTGAAAGTACCCCTTTGTCCGTCCGACTGCTTCGGGACCAGGAGACTTTCTCCAAGCTGCCATAGTTGCTCTCAAGAATACCTCCAGCTTTGAAAATGGCTTTCTCAAGTTCTCCTTCGATAGCTGCATAGCGCCGGATATGTCTTGTATCAGCAAGGACAGGAGAGGTGGTGGAACAGTTTTTACTTTGACCCGACTCTTCTCAAAACGTCGAAACATTCGCTGTCCTTCCTGGATTCCTCGACGGGCTAATATTGTTGAGTCGAAGGTGCAACGCACTTTGGCTCTGAAGAAAGTAACATTGCAAGTCGATCGACAACATCATCGAAGTTTTAATTTGAGCAGGTTTTAATTATAAGGGAAGGGACAATACGAAGTGTTTCCAGACCAGAGAACATCATGAATGATAAAGGAGAGGTGATGCTAAAGGAGACCTCACAAAACTCCTCCACAAATCTCCCGTGTACGAGTAGGATATCTCATATACCTCTGCAGAACCACAGAAAAGCCTCCACAAGTAGTCCGCTGAGGTATACAATAGAAATCCAGAAGGAACGTTATATGGGCTTAATGACCTGATGTACTAGTTTTCCACGGCCAACCGACGATATGGTAATGAGTACAGGACACTAGTTCCATAATCTGAGGCACTGGATCAATTTCTTCGGTAGTCGGCAGAAAAGTCACTTTCCAGTGGTTAAACCCTCCATGATTTTCGATACTGTAGACGTCCGTCGGTGATCAGGGGCAGGCTACAGACGCTAACAGTGTTCAAAGCTATTAGAATCCATCTACTGTAGGACTGTACAGAGTACCTGTGGCGAAAGAGTATGGCTTCAAAGTCGTCTGGGGTAACTTGAGTTTACTTTTGTTTAGAAATGTACTCTCATTGACCAGTGGTGCAGTGCTTCCACATCTGAGAGATGGGGTTATTTCTCACGAATTGGGACATTTTCACGATGCCCGATAGAGTTAAAATATTCTACTTTGTCATCTTCCAAAACCAACATCTACTCGTGCTACAAAATTGTTAATACAAATGTGTACCGAGTTAGCTTGCAAAGCTCTTCTGAAGGTGCATTTACTTCCAGTTATATGAATAACTCAACGTTATGAACGTTGATTCATGGTAAGTTCACAGTTTTCAGCTTGTGATGCACATGAAACTTTTTGTGTGGAGCCATTTGACCAGTTTAACTCAAAAACGAGCTTCATCTCGTGTTGCATCTCTTCAGGATATCGTTTAATGCTCCGTTATCATGGATGCTTATTAAGATGCTGTGCTAGTCCTGACCAAGTAAGTCAGGTAAGAAAATACAAGAAGAAAAAACGAATTGAATCCCATTCTTATTCGTATACAGGCTATCGACATCGCACACGGGTACACAACACGGCCATAATTTCCAATCAGAAGGATTGGAATGGATTGGATAAAAAGGATAACGACTGGAAGGAAAAAAATGCAGAAGGATAGTTGTTTCATACCACTTACTCTTTACGGAGTCCGAGCCCCTAACAATTTGAAGACCTGCAACAGAAGATGTATTCGGTGTTAGAAACTGAAACCCCACTTCCGAGACCACAGTTAATGACTTCCAATTACATGTACTATAATTGCTTTGCAACTGGTCCGATGGCCAGCAAAATAGTATGTTCACTATTCCTCTCAGTGAATTACAGCAGCCTGCCATTTCAAACGAGTGCTCGTAATGAAAGATTCAACTGTTACCTTTGTAGTCTGTTCCAACGTAGCCAACCCAGAGAGCAACTTTCTTCTTCCGCATAAACTGAGCTCGATCTTCGACTTCCAATTCTACGCCGGCGTCGGTACGCGCAGATCCACGAACGGCAGATGCTCTGAGTCCCGCGGATCCAGCTCTTCCGGGGGCAGTGACAGCCCAATTGGGTTTTGAATTCGCGATCGACTGGATGCTAAATTCTCTAAACTCATGGCGACCAACGCAGGAAGGAGCGCACGACCAATTCCCTGTGGACCAATTCGTACAGATGTTACACCCGTCACAGCGAGACGGAAGTTTGACGAATCTGTACAAGCTGAACAGTTGACCACGAACCCACATTTCCCCTCATATGCGGAGGTGTTGAGTACCAGGACTACCGAAGTACAAATCGAGTAGCTGTACAATCCCTCGAATTTCCCAACTCAGTCATCCTGACATGAGGTGAACAATGCAATTCGCCTAACAACGAACTCAAGCTGTACAAACACACTACAACTCCGTGTTTCAGTGCGCATCGCCCTCACCCTAACTCCAGAGCACTAGATTCATGCAGAAAAAGAACTGGATCCTACTTGGTGTGCTCGAACAAACAAACCTTCAGACATTGTCCACAGATTCGACTCCCTGCAAAAGAACTAATCACCGATGGATACGTGATCATACCTTTGATCAATTTGCCCAACTTCTTCGACCCCAGCTCAGGCAACGCGTCCCGCCTGCCATCACGGCCCCACAGGCCATCGACCGAAGGACAGAACCAGTCTTTCCTCGACGAGATGACATCCTGCCTTCCACATATCCTGGAAATTATCCTTCCGTCAATCTGGCAAGGCAGCTGGGTCGAGCACATCCTGCAGATTGTCGGGCACCGCGTGATACCCACGGGCACACCGCACCGCAACCTCTGAGCGATCATTGCCCTTCCTCTAAGCTACAGACTCTCGGAACGACGAGAACGAGAGCCCATGAGTCAAATCGCGCATGTCACACGTCGAGGCCGATCTGGCCATGGCTGGCCACCGTCGACGATTCCCCCGCCCCGGTGGCAGGCCGGGCCGCCAAGCCCTCCCCGGGTCGCCTGGCGCGGGCGGGTGAGCGAGCCCTCGCCGTCGTCGCTGCCCGGCCTTAAAAGAAAAGAGCCGGCAACTGAAGAGACGCGATTCCAGGCCCTGCCCAAAGCCCGTTCGATCTGTCATTCGCTATTCGACGCCTGCATTACTCGGTTGGTGCTCACGATGGCAGAACGCGCGCTCGCGCGCGCGCAAGAGCCTTGGACGGGCCGCAGTTCGTCACTCGCCAGAAAACTCCTCACTCGCAAAAGTGCAAAATTTCAGATTCTGAGACCGACAACCGCTAACTGCAATATCGCGATCCCAATAACCGAGTTCGCATTTCGCAAAAGTCCGCCCGTATCGGACCTCCAACTCTGACCAACATCACGTCGCCTTTATCACATAAACCCTCGTCGCAAGCCGAAAGTACCCGGCCCTCTATTTGTCGCCTAGGCCCGATCCTACACTCTAACCCGGCCAGTCTAGTTCGTACCAATTCGAATCCCCCGCTCCCCCATCCCCCGGGCCCACCACTGGACGAGTGAACTCGGATCTTCCATTGTTTCCCGGTTGAATCCGCACTTTTTCCCCACCGGAATCTGTGGCAGCAATATATTGAACTATGTTACCTTTTCGCAGTGAGACGGGCCAATATTCACTCATATTTAAGCTACCCCGGGGGAACACCTTTAAATGTGATTAAGACAGAGAGCTTCGCCATCCCAAGGAAGAACAAGGCTCCAGGTTGCCCGGTTCCCGAGGAAATGTGAAAGGCTCACCGTAAAGAAAAGAAGCTCTGTCCTGTCAGGGTGACCTGTGCTAGACCTGGTGACCGCTTCAGAGCAACAAAAGTCCAAAATGCGAAAAGGACATGCGTTCAGATTCAACGCTCTTTTCACCTCGGGCCATCACCACCGCCGTGACCCGGGACGGACGGACCACACACCAACGTATCCGTCCATTCCTGACCGGTAGCATGTCCTGTAGAGACCGGGTACCTGACTCCTGCTACTGCGCTGGGACCCAATAGCAAGCGCGGGACGGTGGTGTCGTACCTTCGCGCTCAAGGGCGGCGAACCAACCCACCACCAGCTCTGGTCACTTCCGGTGAACTCTGGTTAGGCTTGAATGAACGATAGAGATCGAGCGGCTGAGTTCCGTGTCTGCGGCGCTAATCTCGACCGATCTACGTCGCCCGTCGTTTTCCCGAACCTCCGTGGTGATTGGCTGCACAAAAGCGCTGCCTCCATCTCGACGGCGGTCGAGGCGGCCGAGAATCCGTCGGTGGTGAATCGGACGAAGCCTCGACCCGACATCGACGGCCTTGGCCGGACAGATGCAACCAAGACTTGACCAACCACTCCCACGCTGGACTCCACTCCCTTGACCTAATCACACTGCACTCAATTCCGTCCGACCCATCTTTCTCCTGCTTTGACCCTCTGCCCACCGATATGTTCGCCCGCACTTCGACCATTGTCGCGAACTCCTAGCCTAATGAAAAGAATGCAATTTTCTTTGCATTCAGCTTCGGAATTCTCGCCAGGAAAAGGACAGGTTATCTTCTAATTTGGATTGTTTCTTCTTTGATATAGAAAAATCATATCAAAAGCTATATGTCGTATTGATCGGGCATACCATACCAGCCTCCATCCTCAGATACTCACTCACATGCCAAGATTTTTTCATATGCTTATCTGACTACAAGGAAATTTTTAATCTTACATTGATACATTTATTCGCGCCTTAAAGTTGACAAAGTCTATTCTGCTGATGTGTAGTAGTATATCTCTGAAATCAACAAGTTCCGTGGATTGTAACCAATCTTCGTTTATCGTTTATTTAGACAAATCTAAGATTGTCAGTTCATCATGGAAAAAGTTATTGTTTTCAATGCTTCAAAAAAATCTTTGGAATCTATGAGCTAGGAAATTTACCTAAATGATTGACACAAACCTACTATTCTTTCTAATCCTATATTCGACAAAGCAAAAATATGCTTTAAGAGAGGACATCTGATCTTTGAAAGCCATTACAGAATGAACGTCATAAAGAAGTCATTAAATATTTTGTTATAAAGTTGTGTAGAGTGAGCTAAGCATGTAACATGTGATAATTTTGACCTGGACAAGGATTATACATAATTCTCATCGTAGTCTACTATTTTTCAAATCACTATTCAGACTCTCCTAATTTAGTATTTGGTTGTTAAACTACCCCAAACATTGAAAATATGACATACGAGCACAAGCTAAAACATATCGTTCCCGCTTCTTGAAAAGTGCAATCTCTCTCATAAATCCACACATCAGTTAGATATTCCACTGAGTTTTAAGAAATTTTGAAATGCTACCGTAGAAATACTAGGTGATATTGCATTCATAATAATTCAATTGTTGGTTTGTACATACTCATATAATGAATTTCATGAGAGATAAATCTCACGTTGACTAGAATTCTTAATATCGTATGACGTTTTTATTCGGTTCATTACACTTCCTACCAAGCAAAATCTAGCAAATCTTTTACTCTTTAAATCAAATATTTTCTTGACCAATGTAATTTTCATCACGACGCAAGAAAATGAAAATAATAGCCTCAAAATCAAAAGCAAAATCCAGGTTATGAATACTTTGTACAGTACTTCATTATAGAAATAACAAGGCTGTGGAGAATTAATCATACACACGTTCAATCAACTTTAAGAAAAAATAATTTTTTTTAATGAGAAACTCATTTCCTATGAAAATTGATTAAACCAGTCATTTAAAATTTAATATAATATTATATTTAAACATTTTCACACAAGAAGAAAAGCAGTGACAGATCTGACAATTCTTGATCTTATGACACATACACAGAAAAAAGTCAATATTCTTGACACAATATGTTGACGATACATATGACAGATTTTAGTTTTGTACATCAAACTAGGAGAAAATTCGATTATAAATTTCACACGCAAAAACACTTTGACATTCTCAAGTTTTTCTCCCCTTTGGCCATCATCTGATGAGAGTGTTAAGCACACATCTAATAAGATTATTTACAATACTGTGATATATGTGAAGTCAAATTATAGACAAATTTACAATATCTATTTCCTTGTTTTGATTTCTTTAACTATAAGCTACTCGTCTTCGCTAAGATCTCCAATAATAGTCAAATTATCCATTACATCAGCATTATTTTCTTAGCAAATCCCGAAGCTTCCGTAATAGATAAACTGCCATCATAATTTTTTCAATTATTTTGTTATTCATCACAAGAACTTCAGGTAGAAATGCTGCATCAATTATCTAATAAAGGCTACCTAATTCTTACAATCCGTACAAGCCGTGATCGTTGTGTTATAGATGGACTCCTTTAAAAATTGCAAAAAAATTTTGCCCTTTCCCTAAACCATGTATAAATTTTAAAAGAGTTGCAACATTTCTAGATGACCGTTTGTAAACATGTATAAGTTACACTTAATTTTATTTATAAGTATCAATGACTTTTTGTGCCTTCGTAAAGACATAGACCATATTTGTTCACATGTTCGGATGCTCTACTTCATGCATTAAACATTAGCAGTAAGTGGATAGAGAGTACATAATGCTTGATTGCATATAACATCGGTGCAAATTCTAAAAATTGGTACAAGTGTTGCGCAAACCATCAAAGCTGATCCAATACATATGCATATGACTCAAACTCATTTTTGATACAGAAGGGAGTCAAGGAGGTCCCTGGGCTATGTGATTATTATTATTTGTCATTGAACCGCGTGCGTCTTGTCTCTATCTCCATGTCGCAAAAGAAGTGAATGGGTTTGATTTCTTATAATTCTTCTGTGCTCGCGAATCGGCAATTTTTTATTGAACATTATACATTTGATAGGTATTTCCCCTATCATTGTTATATATATATATATATATATATATATATATGAATCGACTTAATTCCACAGGTCGGGATGTTCTCATCCCACCTTCTGCTTTTAAATCCAGCTTCTACACATATTATCTACTCTACTATTCCCACGATCTTTCGGGTGTTCAATTAACTAACTTCTTCCCCGCTCGCCATAGATCTCATCAACTTTCTCCATTTGATTTCCTGCCTTATAGATATGGGGTAGATCCATGGCTCTACGAACACTCTAGACGGGAAAGAATATGGGAAAGGATAAATGTCTTCTTACTCAATCACTGTGCTCTTTGAGAACTAGTAATCTAAGACAGCATATCATAAGAATAACCTATAGTTCACATTCACTTAACATGTGAAGACACTGATGGAAAATAGACTCTACGACAAGTGTCCTCCATTTCCGCAGGGCTTCGATTGCCACAGTGATTGACTACCTCCCTCTGACTATGTGTTGGCTATATGTGACATTTAATATGTACATCTTTTGGTGGGTACAGTCATCGTTAAATTTGCATGATTCGTATGCTTAGCCTTGTTCCCAATCAAGTATCATACAAATGTTAATCCCTGGGGGCTAAGACTTACATGCAAATTCCGTATCAGCACCATCAGAGCTCAGACTTCTACTTTGAATGTGAGTCATTCCGCTTCCCATCCTCATGTTTTCTTACCTCGTGCACATTATCCGCCATGGCCAAGCGTGCGTGTATATTCGCTTGAGTACTAGGATTTCACACCTTGAGATTTCACTCAGGTCTAAGTGCTACTGACTGCTACGATGTACAACATGTAACCCTCGTAGAAAGGCTAGACAAGGTGTGATATTCTCTTGTGAACACTCATCCAAGCTGAAGGAACAAACAGGAATTAGTGGCAGTAGTTTTCTTACAGCCCAACACATTCTAAGGTGCCATGAAACTTCTAAAGGCGACGGATTCTATTTCTTTCTTTTGGAAATACTGAGACCGTATTTTCATCGCGGCTGCGGTCGACTTTTTCGAATTTGTGGAGAAGGATACCAAGCAACACAGCAAAGAGGATGGTACACCGTTAGGAATGTTAGCCATATCTTCGAAAGTTTGATGCAAGGGATGTTAGCCATATCTTTGAAAGTTTGATGTAAGGGATGACGTGGGAATTACAACGGAAGCCTACGCTTACAACGACGGAAACGAGCAGCAAGTACATGAAAAACGTTTGTTGTGTCGGGTTGAGCATCGGTGATGCAGCAAATGTCTGAAGAAAAGGTGAAC